CTTGTGTGGGTTCATGCGGGACTCTCTCCAGGGCTTTGGCACTTTCTGTGTTGGAGAAACACGCCGCGACGTCTTGCAGTGCTCGAGGCTGTGACTTGCCGTGTACGGAATAACAAGAGCACGGAGGACGTACGTGCTCCTGACTAACTTTGACGCATTCGTAGAACAAGCCCGCACACTGACTTCGAAGTGTCGAGCACAAGTCTCTTGACCAGACAAGCCAGTCTAGTTTCCAACCCGCATCAGACCACAGGCTACCTGAATTCTCTGACCCATGGCCAAGCCCGCACCTCTGGGGACAGGAGCCTCGCGATCCGGGGAAGAAATGGGATTCCGTGAGAGATCTTGCACAGTAACCGGGATAAATCCATCGTACTAGCTTCACCCACGAAACCCTGTGCGCCCAATATTAAAGGCATTAGGCGAATAGCTGCCCGGTGCCGAGAAATCACAAGCCTGCTCTGGGGAATGTTCAAAAGTTTTCGCTTGTCGTAGGTTTACTTGGTGCCCGGATCTTGCACCAGGAAAGTTGAGGGGCAGCTTCACCCGTCACAAGAGCCCAGAGTTCTGCCCACGGGGTGGTGAGTGGGTCAGGCGATTGTTCAACCCTCGGGTATATCTAATGATGTCTCCCACTGCCTGGTGTTCGACGATCTCTGGTACTCGGCTGTGCTGGTATTGATATAGATGATATTGTAAAACAATGGCACAATTACAGAGCTTCCTTGCCAACGCAAAGACAGTGTCCCCGCTCGTGGTGGGATGTGGTCTCCTCGGGCTATGGGTCCTTTTCCAGTTGTTTTCCTACCTTCGAGATCCTCTGAGGGACATACCTGGTCCCTTTACGGCACGTTTCAGCAGACTGTGGTATCTGAAGGAAGTCGCCAGCGGTCGCTTTGAGAAGACCAACATCGCTCTGCATAAGAAGTATGGGCCGATTGTCAGGATCGCTCCACATTACTATTCCATCGATGACATGAATGCGATTTCGACCATTTATGGTCACGGCACACATTTCGTCAAGGTGGGTTAAATGTGTAGCTATGCGTTCGTGTGGAAGAAGACCCCCGGACATTATTGACGAGAAGTAGGGCAAGTGGTATATTGCCTCAGCGCCGCCGACTAACAAAGTACCGAATCTTTTCACTGAACTCGATCCGGACGTACACTCCGCCGTTCGACGAAAGGTGGCTTCATTGTACTCGATGACAAGCCTGGTCGCCATGGAACCCAATGCCGTCGAGTGTGCTCAATTGCTCATCGAGAAATTTACTTCATTGGCAGAGTCGGGCAAGCCAATCAACCTGCAAGTGTGGCTGCAGTACTTTGCATTTGACACCATTGCCCTCATCACTGTAGGTTCTCATCCTTTCCCCTCTTGAGAGCGTGCAGAAGATTGATCTCTCGTGTCATAAGCTGAGTAAAAGATTCGGCTTCCTGGACACCGGCGAAGACAATGGGGGAATGATTGATGCGTTGCACAAGTATCTCCTGTATCTTTCCCAGGTTGGTGTCATTCACGAATGGCATTCGACCCTCAACTGGGTTATGTCTTTCCTGCCGAAGCAAGGCATGCATTATCTGGGAAGCTTTATGACGGATCAACTCGCCGAGGGTCAGCGACAAAGGCCAAAAGGAAGTCTTGAGAAGGATCAATCAAAGTCCACAGACGACTTTCTGACCAAATTGTTACGCATGAATGCTCTTCAGCCAGATAAGTTCACAATGGAAGACGTCTATTCGATTTGCATGACCAATATCGGAGCCGGATCCGACACCACTTCAGTCAGCCTTGCTGGTATTATGTACTGCTTCATGAAGAACCCAGAGGCATTGGAGAAGGTACGTGCCGAGCGTCTGCGGCATCGGAGTTCGCTAACGAAAAGCAGGTCAGGAAAGAGATCGACGAAGCAATGCAAGGTCGCGGGTCCGACGAGATGCTCAGCTTCCAAGAAGCGCAGAAGCTGCCATACCTCCAGGCGTGTATCAAGGAGGGATTACGTATGCATCCCGCTACCGGTCTGCCCATGGTTCGAGTGGTACCTAAGGGCGGGTCGACCATCGCAGGACGATATTTCCCGGCAAAGGTGCGTTATTGCATGAATCCTTGAATATAGGATACTAACTCGAAATCAGACCGAAGTTGGTGTGAACAGCTGGGTGGCCCACGCCAACCAGAGCATCTTCGGTCCCGATGCGGAAAAGTTCAGACCAGAGAGATGGCTTGAATCGGCAGAGAGGACATCAGATATGAACAGATACATTATGACAGCAAGTATCATCAAACGTTGCGGCAAGACATGTCCTAACCAGTCTTCATAGTTCGGCGTCGGCTCACGTACCTGCATCGGCAAGAACATCTCGTTGCTCGAAATCTCGATCTTGATCCCTGAACTGGTGAGAAAGTTTAACTTCACATTGACACACCCAGAACGTCAACTCGAGACCGAGAATGTGTGGTTTGTGAAACAAAAGAACTTGGATTGCTATGTGTCGCTCAGGAGGTGAAATATGCGGTCTTGTCTAAGGTGGCGGCTGCAGATAAGCATAGGTTGTCAATGCGAAGCATAACCCCATCTGAGGATTTGTGAAGCTTCGGTACATAATCTCTTCAATGCTCCTGCACCATGGCGTCGCCGCTCGGTAGCATGTCTAGCAAAAATTGCAGGACCCATTCCTGCATAGCCAGGGAATCATGCTTCCCTTTGGTGCCCTCCACCCAGCCCTCAACTTCGTCTGGACGATAGCCACGTTCAGGGGTGAAGAGGTATCTAAACGACTCTGACATTATCCACGAATCGCATTCCCAGTGGGGCTGCGATGTGAGAACTCTACCGGGTTCGAAGAGTCCTTGTACGTGACAGTGCTTGGTGCTTCCGAGCGACATCCACCGCCCCGGTAAAGACCCTGGTGCCTTAGGGAGGACAACATGATCGCCATGTCCAAATTGTAAGCATAGCTGTGGTTCCGGTCCAGAGCCAACCGATACTGTGTCCGCATTGATATAATATTCCAGTCCAGGGAAATAGGGTGTCAGTTTGGGATTTAGCATGACCGTTTGCAGACCAGATTCGAATCCACCAGGGTGTTTTTCCACAATGACTCCGTGGCCACCGAGCAGAGTCTGGCTGATGATTTGATGACCAAAGCATACCCCTGCTATTCGAACCTCGGGGTATCTGCTGTATACGAGTTTGATGAAATCCGCTAGTGGTTTGATCCATGGGTCAGGGTCGTATGCTCCTGCCATCGACCCTGTCACTAGTATGGCGTCTATCTTCCTTGGATCAGGAAAATGCCCCTTGACGACGTCGAAGCCACAGAGATCAAGCGGACAAGATACGTCGAGGCGTTTCGCGGCATCAGCTAAGACTGACGTGAATATTCCGCTGAAATATGGGCCGTATGCCTTTGCTATAGTGGGGACGTTACGTTCACAGTCGAGGATTGCTATCCGTCGGACTTGACAGCCAGATCGAGCCGGGAGTTGCATTTTGGTTGAAGTTGGAGGAGGATAGATTGTAAAACGCTGAGGATATCGAACAATGACAGGACCTTTTTCAAAAGGCACGACGTTTGCATGGTACCATCCAAGAAGTGGTGGGGGTGAGCAAATGAGTAGTATGTACTCTTCTTTGGCCCATGGCCGCGAGAGTCCTGGAAGGCATATCGTTCCTCTTTAGGAAGGCGAGATACGTCTGAGATAGCGAGGTGGAGTTGAGCGCCGTCCGTGGCACCTTCAATGTCATTGGACATCAAATGATCAAGCCACAGAGATGTCCTTGATGATTGAGAATGTCAAGGCAGGTGTATGGGTCACTTTGACAATGCCCTCATATCTGCTACTCTTTCGAGGCTCTCAGCATGAAAGCGCTGCTAGTATGGCGAGGTCGTAGTGATTGTAGCCCGAATAGTCTCAACGCAAGAATGTACGGGATGCGGTGTTGTCGAATGGTACAGACGATGTTCGGCAGAAATGTAGACTCATGTTGTGGGATGGAAGTTAGACCGTCTCAGCTGGTCTCAATATGGCCTCGCGATATCTTTGACCACGAGGCTGTAACTCACTCAGATATTTCAGTGCCACTTATCACTTCGCATCGCTTGTTAAGTACACGACGCAGCAAGTGGCGTTGCTATTGGGGCTTGTTCTCGCTCGTCTCCCATGTGTATCGTCGTGGGCATTGTCGCAACATATGCTTGCTGGATGGCTTCAGGCGTAAAAGCTGGACAGCTGCTGGATCAGATACACAGGTGCACCGGCCTCATTTCGAGCTAATCGTACTTGGTCTGAGGCTTTTGCTCAATAGCGAAGGGATGCGAAGGACTAGCTTCATCAGAGGGGCTTCTCCCAAAGTGATGTTAGCCTGGAATGAACACACAAGGTCGACGAACCAGAGTCATATGGATACGATTGTGAGATTCTGCCATCACTTTGGACTCTGTAACGAAATCCCAATGTAAAATATATGAGGTGGAATCTCGCACGCAATTAAATAATCACGGACTCGAGATAGCAAGAAAAGTCTTTGTACTACCTATTGCTTCTTTTCTTTTTGTTTTAGCTAGAACCAATCCTTACACTCGTCTTATGCTTCGTGTGTACACCATGATTCCTCATCCCGACCTCTCGATCGTTGACTGTGATCGCCTCTACGACGTACTGCCATTCCCCATACGCAGCTTATGCCGACTCAGCCCCAGATTGCGAATGGTCAAGGAAGCGGTGGGGTGTACGGATAGTGAGACGACCTGTAAGGCTTCCGATCACCAAAGACCACGTATGAGTGGTGAGATGTGCCCGGGAACTACAAGAAGGTTGCCTGATTCCGTTGTCATCGCCCGCACCGTACGCGTACACATTTGCTTAGACACAGATTCGTGGAGAAAGGCAGTGGTGATCTCTACATTGTCAGAAGCGATTGAAAAATAATGTGCTTGCTAAGTATAATTAACCTGGAATAAGGGAACTCTAGAATTTGTCAATTTGATCTGTGTGGTAATTCAACAAGTGTAGTCTTATTATGGTCATCTGCATACACTCGCAACCAGATATTAGAGATATACACTAGGTAACAGTAAAGTATTCTGGCATGACATGTCGCCATGGTCAAGACCATCCCTTGGTTTCAACCATTCCACTCCGTAGAACTCCATAAAATGAGCGTCATGAATCTGTATCGTTTAATCCTGATATCCTGGATTGTCTCTACAGAATTCTGTAGATAATACCGGCATCTTGAACCATCTCCTCTTCTCACCGTCTCGAGCACACCTGTCCTCTATGCTCCGTATTCTTTGTCATGGACGAAACTGCCCCTGCTTCGTGTGCTCCTGGTCCTTCTTCCACCGAACCGTCGTCGCCTCGTTGACTTCGGCGCACTGTCTCTTCGAGCGCCTCCACCCAAGCAGAAGAGGACCGTCGACAGGAAGAAACAGGCCACAGCGGCCCATTCGAAGCCAAAGGCATATTTGCCAATTTGCGCAGATTGACCATTTGAGCGGAAGTTGTCGCGACCTTTGACATAAGCAGCACTATTCCATGTCAGTAAATTGTTTTTTGTTAGCAGAATAGACTACTCACGTCATCAACGCTGCTTGTATGGTCTGGAAGAACATTGCGATCATAGTAAGCAATCCACTCAAGTAGCTACCAATTCTCGTGCATAACGCAAGCAAACCCGTGAAGAGGGCGCAGACGCCGAAGAACAAGGCTATGAGCATGAAAGCGAACATGAACCGAGTCATGAGGAAGTAGTAGCCATGGTGTTTGACGAAATTTCCAGGGACGTTCTCGTCAGTGCCGAAATTTCGATGCGAAGAGGGATCGAGTGGGAATGCCGGGTGGACTTTGGAATAGTTCTCTTTGCCGCAGACCGTGCGGCCATTCTCAACGTTACAAACATTCCAGTATGACCATCGAGAAACGGGAGGGGCGCCAGGAATGTTGCCAGTGTCGGCCTGGAGGAAATAGAACTTGTTGACCGGACCATGATCAACTGCGCCGCCGAGTAGGATCAAGAACATGAACAGGAGCCCGCCTGCCACCAATATGAGGGAAACGAAGCTGAAGAGTGATCCTAGAGCAGAAGTGTCAGTGTGCGAAATCCAACTTTTGTGCGCATGTTTACTCACGGCCTGCCATGACGAAGTGCGCAAGGTAAGATGTCAACACTAGTGAGTCGGTCGCAGTCGCGTGTCGAATTCGCAGTCGGTGACGAGAAGGTCGACGAGGCGCAGGTTTGGAGGGAGGTCGAGGGCGAGGTGAAGGACCGGGATACAAATAGAAGAGTAACGAAAGAAGCAATAGTGGGTTGACAGGTAGGAATGGCTTTTTCTAGTAGTAACCAGGCTTGTGATGTCTTGGATGAGGTCACTTGGGGGTCATCAGCCACGGGCCCAAGGGTAGCTAGGGAAGAGCTGCAGCTTGCTATGCCGGGAGTGGTAGGGTGTTGACGGGCGGTGGAGAGGTGGGATGAGCAGGGCGATGGGAGAGACGGAGAGATGCCCAATAAACTACGGCCGGTTGACGTGTCCAGGTCTTTCGCAAGAGGCTTGAGGGTGGAGGACGATTGGGGCTCTAGGCAAAAGTTGACGAGAGAAGTTGTGTGCGTGTGTGTGGCAGCTTTTGGATGGTGTCACTTCACTTTCTCTCTTCGAGGCCGCAAAACAATAAGGTGCCTACATCAACCGTCGGTAGCACCACGTCATCACTAGGAATTTCCACCTAAACAGGCCCCAACCAGGAAATCCCAATATACTAAACCGATACTAGCTAGCTTCCGCAGCTAGCGAATGATAGCGTCAACTTTGCATTTATAGCGTCTAAAAACACGAGCATCACCAGATACGAGAACGGCATCACAGTGAAATCATTGCAACGCTCGTTGACGGAGGATCTACATTGCACATCAATCGAGTCTAGATCCATCCGGCCTGCGTCGACAAGCTCTAACCACACACAAACCATAGCCGCCATGTCTACTTGGGTATATCCCCCCATACCGCCGGATGAACTGCGCAAGGCGGAAGAAGACTCTTTGGTAAGTTTGACCCGACCCCGTGGGAGAGAAATGTTACATTAACGCACTGAAAAATAGAAGCTCGAGCTTCAGTGGCTTTTGAAGTCCCTACAACACTCACTTGGTGCGCTTAAAGAGGGTCTCGAGGAATGTGCGGCATTGCTGGCTGCAAAGGAACCAGGGTCAACTCTCGTGTTGTCATCATTAAGGTCTGAAAGTGTCAAAGGTTTTGTCACACGGGTTGGCACCAAACTTGTCAAAGGCGTCGGTTGGCCCAAGCGAGAGGGTAGACGTCGGGTATGCTAACATCATCATAGGATATACATCTACGCCTTACAACACTGCCTCCCAACACACCTCGAGGCACCACGACATCTACCCCGTCCACGAGGCTTATATTTCACTCGTCTGCTTCCACTGCTGATATTCTCCTGCCGCAGTTACAGGCAGTCCGATCAAGGATCAATGATTCCCTTGATATCATTGACATAGCGAGATGGACAGGTCAATCCACAGATTCGTCTTTCATCTCGGGACAACTTAGACTTCTTCATGATCACCTTCGTGAAGCCCGGTCCTATCTGAAAGGGCCTGTCACCGGCGCCGAGGTCGCAGCCATACCCGGAGCAGAATGGTGGAATTGCAGTGCGGATGAGAGTATATTTCAACCACCTCTGGGTGATTACCTGAGTCTACACTTCACAATCCAAGATGCGAATCTTGTGCTCACTGTCAGGACTCTGGCACCGACATCGCCCGGCGGAACTCCAAGTACTCCAGCCGAGGGCTCATTTTCTTTGTCTGGTTTCAACCTTAGGTCGAAGCTATTAGGTCTCGGACCAAGACCACCGAATCATGATGAAATGGGCGAGATGTTTGACTGGCGTGGGAAACAAGAGGTCATTGTTCGCGAAAAAGTCCGGGTTGAGAGTGGCGATCCGAGCTTGATGAGTGTAGCAGCCAAGCTGAGTGCCCTGGAACACGAGGTTGCCCGGTGGCGCATGAACCTACGAATTATTTTGACGGGAAGCGTTGAAGAGGATTGAAGCCTCGAAACGACGGCGACGATTCCCAGTCGGAGGGAACGCGGACGGATGTGGCAGTGATTAATCTCGCTTGGTGGATCGTCAGGCATAGATTAAAGTGGTTACTATGCAACACCCCGGTCAGGGCCGTGCACGTGACGCACCGAGCCCCGAAAGCCCCTTGCTTCTCGACCCGCATCAAGATCTCAGTTCGAGGGGCCGAGCGACCAACTGAGCCTTTCCTCATTCTCTTCTTTTCACGTCGACCTTCCCAAACTCGGGTTTATCGTACGTTTCAAACCCTGGTATCCCTGCAACCTTGCACCTATCGCTTGTGGCTGGAATTGACCTGTTAGCCTAGATTCAAAATGCGAAGGTCTTTCTACGCGTCAAACACTTCAGAGACATCTTCGCCGTTTGTTCTTCACTCTGTATGGGCCTTAAGAAAGAGAACATAGAATGGACGTCTCGAGCCTAATGCGAACAAAGGATTTCTTTGAGGAATGCCTTGATCAACAAATTGACTGCCTGATGCTGGCTCACCAACACATTTATCTGTCGGGTTGTTCCCTTGGACGAATTGACCACGACCCCACGCTCCAATGGCTCCAAAACTCCAAGATACAGACTTGTTCGTGCCTGTCAAGGTCGACAATCACCACAAATTCGCTCAACCAGTCATCCGCACTCCATCAACTGCCTCACCATGTTCTGACATGAGTGCAACCACCGCGAAAGCCACCGCGCCAGATTCTAGCACCAAAGACCCAATTAGAAAACTCCGACATAAACGGAGATTCACCATCGGAGGTGCCGGCCAACGTTCGGGCACGAATCCCATCAGCCCTGTTCTTTGTGCAGAACAGAAAACAGTAGCACAAAACGACATTGTCCACGCTCGGCCTGCTGTGACAATTTCACGCACATCGTCATCTCGGCGAGATATTCAACACGCGAGTCCAGCCAAGGATGTTTTCGACCCGCGAATACCCGGAGAGGGGAAACAATTACAGCCAGACATAACAAATGTTGATCGCCTATCTCCAACACCAACCCCCATCGTCATTACAGATTCACCAAGCAGCAGATCAAGCCGATCACGCTCACCAAAGGCATTGTATCCTCCAAGTAGTTGGAAGAGAGTTGAACCTTTGACATTCAACCTGGCTGAGCCGGCGAAGTTGGAGACGCCGCTCATCAGTCCAAGTTCAGACAATACTACAGCTTCACCTCGACGTCCTGGTTCCGGTAAGGCTCGCCATACGGAGCCAGTATCATCCGGGACTCCCACTCCAGATATTTGGACGGAAATTGCCGGTTTGTCACCACCGTCAATACTGAGAACAACGTCTTCAGCACGATCATCTCCGCCGAACGATTCCATCACAGCGACGCAACCGGTAGCAAGAAACGAGACGAATGTCGTTAATAAGAAATCGATTTCGGGTCAACAGGTCCAAACCGTACCGGAAGCAACTCGGGCTCAAGCCATCCCGACAGCTCAGAACACAGGACCAAGATACATTCGGTCCCGACGTCGCAGTAATCCTGTGACACCATCGTTCTCAGAACACAAATTACCCGCCCCCGAGATTGCATACGCTGACACATTTCATTATACAAATTGTGAGCACACAAGCCCGCCAATGTCACGCCCTCTCAACACGCAGCCGATTTTGGTCCCTTATCAGCATGATTTACTGGCGTTTCCGCCGTTCCATATTCGCGAGTTTTTGGCAAGTCAGCCATCAGCCACACCCAGCATTTATATCATTGAAGGCGCATGTTCAATTTGCGATCTAGCCTATCGACGAAAGGCCGAGTCCGACATATTGGCCAGGTATACTACACGGTCAGAGAACCTGTTGTTACAGCTGAGCCTGCTGCAGGAGGATCTGGACGTCAAGTCGCCCACTACGCTTGACCCTCCCGAACGTAAGCACACTGCCACACCGTTCCCATCTTCGTCTTCGGCGAAGCGAAATGCAATCGACCCCGAACCCCCTTCAACCACAACCATCACACCCGAAAACATTCAAGCAATCCTACAGATGGAAGAACAGGCAGAGAACCTGATCAAGCAACGTGATCTCGAGGTCAGAGCGATCTGGCGAGGGTATACGGAACGTTGGGGTCCTGCGACCGTTGCGATTCACCATGCGAATGACAATGACACCAATAGCAGATACAGAGGGCGGGCTCGTGCACAGAGTGCCAGTAGTGCAGCTACGTTTCCGGAAATGGACAACATCAGCTCGTTGACATCGAATGTCGACAACAGTACGGACAGGACGTCTACCATGACGTCGACCATTTCCACCCGAACCACCCAAACCAGTCACACCAACAACACCGTGTCGTCGTCAATGACACCCCGACGGACGACGATGTCACGAAGGACAAGTCGAAGTTCTTCAATTGGACAACAAGATCGATACTCGGACGGGACACGACTGGTCAGTGTGTCCTCGTCTGTGGATGGTGTCAAAAAGGATGGACGGATGATGGTCGACTGGATTCGACCTGAAAGGACAGAGTCGGCGTTGAGGATCAGAAGTCACAGTCAAAGCCAAACTCGCGATACCACAAGAAGAGGTTGTCCTTGAAGGAGTGAAAAGAGGTCAGGGAAAAAGGAACAGAACCAGGAAGTTGGGAGGGGACTTTGTTTTTGTTTACACGGGGATTTTTGGGTCGGGTTTGAGCGTAGCATTTTTGGAGTTTGTCGAGGATTTGAAAGGAATGTCACAGAGCATAGCATTGGGTAGAGAGAGGGAGGGAGGGAGAGTGATCAACAGAACAGAGAAAAAGGTCTCGGCTATTGGTTGGTGTATATAAGGGGCATTATACCCCGGGGGTAGGATGGGTTGAAGGCAGATGGTGAACCAGATATGTAGCTGTGATAAAGAAGAAACGGCATCGTACGGAGTAGTCGATACAAAGATGAAGTTCACAGCACTATCGACTTGTCCAGATCACATCATTGCTTTCTGTCTTCTATTCTTTTTCTAACTGCGACTGATCGTAACTCTACTGGGACTCGATGAAAATCAATCAATCATGCTGTTACCATCCATAAACCCTTGGATATTCTCCATCAATAGTCACCCATCTCTAAACACCTACTTTGACGATATCCTTCCACATTCTCCTTCATATCTGAAACTACAAAGTACATGTCGAAGAAAAAGGCGTCTACCGCCGTCCTCTCCGGGGCCGTGGTTTTCTACAGTTTTGCTTTGCCCTCTTCGATCCTCTTCCAGGCCATTGAATCGAGAGGTTTGAACCTCTCGTCCTCCAGGTCCAAGAAATACTTTTTGCTCCCTCCTACCGCGTCGACGACACCCCACTCGATGTTCTTGACGACATTTTTGGCGTGCTTGAAGGTATCCCCCACGTCCACCAGTTCCTCACGGACCATGACGAGCCGAGGGACGGCGTACCTGGGCACACCTTTGGACCTCAGTGCCTTGAACAGACCTGCCATGAAGACCTGTTCGTTGACGCCTCTGCCCGTCTTTTCGCTTTCCGGGTCCAGCACGATCAAGGCCGTACCGGCTTGCCCGTCGTACTTGTCCAACCTCCTCCCGACGACGACGGCGTCCTTGACGCCGTCTAGCTCCGACATGAACCCGCGGACCTCCCCGGCCGAGACGTTCTCCCCCATCCACCTATAAGTGTCGCCTATCCGGTCGACAAACTTGACCCAGTTGTCACGCTCCTGCATCAACAGGTCCCCGCTTCGTTGCCAGACGTCACCCTTTTCGAAAACGTCCCTCAACAGCTTTTTTTCCGTGGCGTCGGTGTTGCCGTGGTAGTCCGTGTATGTGGACATGTCTCGGATGCGGGCGATGGCCTCTCCGGGTTCTCCTCGGTCGGCAACGATGCACCACCCTTGGGCGTCCCGCACGGGCATCTCGGTGTCGTAGTCGAACTTGATGATGTGCTGTTGACCTTTGTCGAACACTCGCTTTCGCAGCACCCCCATGTAACCCACCCTGCCTGCTCCGGGTCGGCCTCGACGGTGGACATTGTCGAACTTGACGAGTCCTTCGGTACTGCGGTAGAACTCGCGAACCTCGGGCACGTTGAACCGGCGTTGGAAGGCCACCCAAACGTCCTTTTGGAGACCGTTGCCCGCGGCCACGAGGACCGAGTGTCGTCGGTCGTACTCGCCGGGAGCGGTGGCGAGGATGAATCGCATCAACTCACCAACATACAAGATCCGGGTGGCGCGAGACTCGTGCACCTCCTTGAAGAAGTTGCGGGCGCTGAAGCGTCGCGCCAGGCAGAAACACCCGGACTGGCTCACGCTGTAGCACAACCCGGTGAAGAAAGTCGTGCCGTGGAACAAGGGCATGCACGAGTAAGTCCGTAGACCTCGCAGGTACTTTTTCCGGTCGGCGTGGTCGACGGAACTCGCGCAGCTCACGGCGCAGATCAGGGCGTTCTTGACGCTGCAGGCTTTGGGTTTGCCCGTGGTGCCCGACGTGTAGATGAGGCCGGCGACGCTGGCGAGGCTCTTTGGTGGTGTTGGTGGTAGTCTTGGTTGTGCGGCTGATGGGTCGGGAAAAGGAAAGTCGAGCACGCCGTCATCATTTGACGATTGGCTAGCTCGGAAAGAACCAAGGTTCAAACGGACCGTCTTGATGCTGTCGGTGACGGCGGCGCTAAGACCCAAAGATTTTGCCGCCGTTGCCGCGTGAATGGCCAGGTCGGGAGTGGTCAGGATGAGGTTCGCGTCAGGAAGACGCACGCAGTGAAGAAGAGTCTCGTCTCGGAGGGCGTTGTTGATCAAGGCAGGGGCCGCGCCGAGTCGCGTGAGAGCGTAGACGGTGAACAGCATCTCGGGGGAGTTGGTCATGAAGACGGCCACGATGTCCCCGTTCTTCACCCCCAGAGAGTCGTGCAGACCCTGGGCCAGCTCGTCGACTTGAGCCTTCATGGCTCGGTAGTTCCATGTCCGTCCTTCAAAGTAGAGTGCGTCGGCATTGGGGTCGGCCAGTTCCAGCATGCGATACAGATGAGGTGATTGGGGACCCAGAGCGCCTAGAAACTCTGGAAAACGTTTGTTGAAGGATTGGTCCAGTCGGTATTGTTGGAGATCTTTGGTGACGCCTAGAGAGTGGTTGGCGTACAAGAGAAGACTTGCTGCCGCCGTGGTTGAAGCGGCTGCTATTGTTGCCATTTTAGGGATATTCTGATAGTCCTAGACAAGATAAATATATATATATATATATATATATATGGCCCTTTGTGTTGAGGTTCGAATTCGAAATCAAGTGTCGATTCCAGACCTCCAACAAGAAACAGGCGAGTATTTCGATGGTAGAAGACGGGGGGAGTTTTCTAGCGTCGAGACTTCTCTTTTTTTTCTCTGGATTGCAAGATCGTCAAGTTTCAGTCAATCGAAGAAAGGGTAGTATAGTATAATTGTCAAGGACTGCCTTGTCAAAGTGCCAGAACGTTGTGTGAAGCCTCGGTCGAAAAGTGATGTTGACGGTATCGGTACTTGGATACCGTGTGCAGATGCCGTGGTGTGGGCCCTTTGGGATTGAATTTCGAGATTTATTACTGCACTGTATGCTGTTGCTCGTCTTGAAACTCTCCCGGATTACGAGTCTGATTCCGATCTTTCCCAAGACCGAATTGTTGAATTTGGTGTTCGATTGTTTCGTTGCGGACGTAAGATTGAGAAAATAATAATATTTGGGCTTCCGAGAGTAGTAGTTGGGTGTGTTGTTACTCCATAGGACAACGGCAAGTCGTAGTACGGAGTAGGGAGTATGGGATACGGTCCGGGGACAACACAGGTTCTTTAGCTCTCAGCTCTAAATAAGGGGCGAAGCTCTTCCCCTCTTTGCGCGCCACAGATTTAAGCACAAGGACAGAGGGAATGATAAAATACTGTAGGATAGAAATAATCAGAATTAAGGATGCTTTTGTATGTCTTGTACAGAGTATCAAAATAGTAGTTAACAATCAATAACGGGATGGAGGATTCACTTGCCGGTACGGAGTAACCTGTTTGTCTAGCATGTCTGGAACTACGACTACGGGACTGCCTTTCAGGCTTTCAAGGGGTGCGGTAAGCAGAGAGAACGAGAGAGAGACTGCGTGGAGGGAACTCTGGGTTGGGTGTGTGTGGAGGTGGGGCTGACGAGGCTGGGGGCATACAATATGCATATTTCTCATCCCCCAGGCATTGGTTATACTCTCAGTGCGACACTTATCGACTTGCCGTCTAGGCCTCTGATATCGGCTCTTCGGAGCCAAGATGACACTCCCTCCTACAGTACAATAATACGAGTTACCTGGCCACGGGGCAATGGCGGATAATGCGAACCCAACAACCTGGTGGAGCCACGGAGGATCAATCAAGCCCCGGAGGCCCAGAGTGGCGCCCCTTATGACTTACGGCAGTTGTTGTCGGACTCTCCCAGCAAGTCACTTGAGCCTCGGCATCTTCGTGAAGATCTGGAGTACGAGTTACAACACTGGTAGTTGGTTTAGTGGCGAGTGAAAAGTGATCCAACAACACAAACAACCATTCCCGAACGTGATCATTTTTCATATTCTCGGTGTGATCTGGTGTACAGTAAGAGTTACTTCGGCCATAGATCGCTAATATTGTACGGAATACAGAACAGTTTGATTATTTATCAAAAAATACCTCGAACACCATCTTTTCAACTCATATTCCTCGCCTACTCCCATACTTTCCTCATCTCTCTTCACCCGCCTGCATCCATCTGTACGGTAACGATATATACTCTTTGTACCATCTTGACAGAGATACATATTTTATTACCAGCAAAATAACGCAAAAATGAGTGCTCAACAACGACTCCAGAACATCTCTGGACACATCAATTCCAGCGCCACCACGACACAATCACCCGGACTAAAAAAGATTCTCGAAAAGAATCCAGATGATATTGTATGTTTTGATTGTTTGATTGATTTCGAAACAGCTTCCCTTGTGGCTCCGCCATGGAACCACCTCACCCTCATCTCATCCATCGTCCAATTCCCTCCACGTTCACTTTCTTTTTTTTTTATTTCCAGTGCTAACAGGATCGCAAAAGGTAATCACTTGCGCGACACGTACACCACTCACCAAAGCCCGCAAAGGTGGACTCAAGGACACGCCGTCGGACGAACTACTCATCCACGTCCTCAAGGCTCTCAAGACGAAGTCCGGAATCGACCCGGCCAAGGTCGACGACGTTTGCATAGGCAACGTGCTGACGCCGGCCCCCGGTTTCGGGGCTCGCAGCGCGGTGTTGGCCGCGGGCTTCCCCGTCTCGACGGCCTCCAACGTCGTGTCCCGCTTCTGCTCGTCGGGCCTGTTGTCGATCCAGACGGTGGCCGGGAACATCGCGACGGGCTCCATCGAGGTGGGGGTGGCCGTGGGCTGCGAGAGCATGTCGACCAACAAGGACGCCCCTCCCCCGATGAGCGAGATGATCATGAACCACCCCGTGGCCAGGGACAACGTCATGCCGATGGGCTGGACGAGCGAGAACGTCGCCAGGGACTTCCACGTCCCCCGCGAGAGCCAGGACAGGTACGCCGAAATGTCGCACGCCCGGGCCGCCCGGGCCCAGGACCGAGGGTGGTCGGCCGACGAAATCAGCCCCGTCACCACTCGCTGGGTCGACCCGAAGACCAACGAGACCAAGACGGTCACCGTCGACCGGGACGACGGCATCCGAGCCAACACGACCTACGAAGCCTTGTCCAAGATTCGGTCCGCCTTCCCCCAGTGGGGTCCCACCACCACCGGGGGCAACGCCAGTCAAATCACCGACGGCGCCGCCGCCGTGCTGATGATGAAACGGTCCACGGCCGAGAAACTCGGCCAACCCATCATCGCAAAGTACGTCAAGAGTACCGTCGTCGGGTTGGAACCTAGGATCATGGGCATCGGGCCCAGTCTGGCCATCCCCAAGGTCCTGGACTTGACCGGCTTGTCCACAGAAGACGTCGACCTCTTCGAGATCAACGAGGCGTTCGCCAGCATGTACGTTTACTGTGTCGAGAAATTGGGATTGGATATCGAAAAGGTCAATGTCCGGGGTGGTGCTATCGCCATCGGGTTAGTATTGAGTTCTCTCCACCTTCTTTGTATCGATCCTTGTTACTGACATTACTCCTCCAAGACACCCCCTGGGTTGTACGGGTACGAGACAAGTGGTTACGGTCTTGTCGGAATTGAAACGTAGAAAGCAAAAGGTGGCGGTCACCAGTATGTGCGTGGGTACCGGTATGGGTATGGCTGGTGTTTTTGTTTCGGAGGAATCATGATATACTAAGACCAATAAACCACATGAGAACGTATCGGGGGTATAGGGAAATGAATAATATTGACTTTGAATCATGATACATTTCCAAGGGTCAAGGAAATTTGAATTGCTCTGGAGACTATTAAAGACCAACGTCGTATCATGAGGTTCATCATTCATCCATCATCCCTCGATGAATGAATAGTCAGTCTCATTTTTTTGGGGATCCGTCTTCCCATTCTCATTTTCCATTACCATAAAATTGTTCCTTTTTCATTTGCATTTCATCATCAGCGACACCAATAGTGGCAAAATACTAGTGTACGTTATCATCAGCGTCAATCTTACTCCTAGGAATTTTGATTTCTTTTGAAAGGAAAAGGAAGAAATGCCATCTTCGGGACAAGACACTCACGGCCATGGCTCTCCTGTTGGCTTCTGGATTCATCGGTTTCCCTGCCTCACCCAATTGAGCCAACAGCTTGAAATAGTTGATGTAAAAGGCAGGAGTATAAGTGTTGAAGAATTTGGCCTCTTCGTCGTACGGGTTCGAAAATGTGTGAGGACTTCTCGGTGGGACAGTAACATAATCACCCAATTTCGCATCCACAGTTTGACCGTTGAGTGCGTGGAAACGAAGTGTACCTTTTGTCACCAAAAATGTTTCGTCGTGCTAAAAACGAAGATGTTAGAAGAGTGTCATAAATGGTGATGTATCAGGGCCAGTGGACCGGTGGTAGGTGTATAGGTGTATTGGCCATGGAGATCCATTGAGGAATGATGCTGGCCAAGTAAAAACTCACCATTTCATGCCAATGAGGTGGAGGACTAAAAAGTCGTACAAAGAAAGATATCATGGTCAGTCAGAGTCATCACCACCACAACATGATCCAGCAAAAAAAAATCAAGTCATTCCTTTCTCATGTACTTGCACTTTGTACCTTTGGAATCTAGATTGAAGGAAAAGGCTTCAAAACTCACCCAGAAGTATGTGGTGGTACAGTAAATTCGGCCGAACCTATACGATTGCTTTTCGAGGCAAGACAAATTGCGTCAACATCGAACATCAACGACGAAACCAATCATCTCTTTGTGTGCCTTGACCGACATGGGATAGCAGAGATTGTAGCCACTCACTCTGTTCTCGACCCGTCCTCCATGATTCGAATGGTGATTGTACCGACTTTGAAAGTCTCACCTGATGTGGCGGGGACAAAATTGATGGGTACGTTTGGAGTTTCCATTGTTCTTGCTTGAAGTCGATGATTTTGGCCAAAAAAGTCTTGAATCAATCGTCGGCACTTCTTCGCTGATGACCCTACCAACAGGACCGTGGCTGTATTCGATTCTTATACGACTTGGGTTCTTACACTCTCCCTCTCTCGTAGTTAGTACTCTGTAAGAGTTGGTGGTTGTCGGAATCTAGATTCGCCGATTTGTCCGGAGATAGCAGCTAGAAAGAGCGATTTCAGATACCAAAAAGAGCTTAGGCGACTTCACATTAGTCAATTCATCTTTGTCACTTCCAGCTCAGCCCGACACAGAACACAGTACATCTTCACACATCTTCACCCTCTTGTCTTTCATCCAGACATTCCTCTGACGGTTACGAATAGGGGAAAGATAGATACCCAAGGTAATCCGTATTCTTTCATGTCCAGAAATTCCTATCCTGAATCTAAGAACAACCTCCGGTGATGCCAAATAACCCTCAAAGATAACGTCAATCATTCTTCTTCCATCCCCCAAAACAGGACATGGCATATTCTGTGTCGTATCAGACCTGGTTGTGTCGTAAATGTCATGTCATGTCATCTATTACACCTTTCCAACAAATTGATCAAAAATATTCTTCATCTCCATCGCACTCTTCTTTGGGTACCTCTTTTGACCATTCTCATAGTCGACATACGTGACACCAAATCTCGTTTCGTAACCTTCGGCCCATTCAAAGTTGCTACCATTGTCAGTTTTGATTCTTTCCGAAAGACATGCACAACGACATGGCAGGGGGGAAAGCTCGTCGACACTTACTCCATAAGACTCCAAGCCATGTATCCACGAACGTCACACCCATCTTCAGCCACCGCTTCAGCCATGGCGGTGATATAACTTCGGAAATATTCCAGTCGGAAGTCATCCTCCAAAATTTCCTCCATGGGCAAATCATTCTCCCCTTTGATACTCGTCCCGTTTTCGGTCACGTAGATCTTGGGTCTTCCGTACCGGTCACTCAACCACTTGATCAACTTTCGGAACCCAGGAGCGTGAGGCCTCAACCAGAAACTCTGAGTCTCGGGGCCGATGCTGTTACCAAACTTGTCCTCGAACAAAATGTCTATATTGCCACTGAAATCATCCGGGTCGGCGACCACTGCGTCACCGCGATGTCGGATGTAGTTCGCGCAATAATGGTTCATGCCGTAAAAGTCATTCGACCCTTTGACCAACTCACTCTCTTCCGCCGTGAATGTGGGTAGTCTCTCACCGAGTTGTTTGACCATGCTTTCCGGGTAACGTCCAAAGTATACCGGGTCGGCGAACCAACAGATGGCAAATTCAATCTTGCGATCGCATGCGATGCGGTCCTGTTCGTCGTTGGGATCCCATGGTTCAGTCCAGTCACCTATGACAAGTCACCAGAAATCAGTACGCTGGATGTTGACCTTTTCTATGCAGTCGATGCAAACACTCACCGTTCAACGTGATACCGATCTCTCCACCGTCTCTCGCCTTGAATTCATCTCTGTAGATCTTGACGGCGTGCGCGTGTGCTATCAGGATACTGTGTCCGACGATCCAAGGTTCCCTGCTCGAATCTCCCACCGCACTCTTGGTTCTGTCACTGGTATGACCCGGGGCGAAGGCGCCGATGCTGTGTCCCAAGATGGCACTGCAAAAAGGTTCGTTGAAAGTGATCCAGTGCTTGACCCGGGACCCCAGAGCCTCAAACACGACGCGAGAGTAGTGGGCGAAATCGGCCACGAATTCGTCCTTGTTCAGAAACCCCCCGTACCGCTTGTACAGTTCGTCCGGGAGGTCCCAGTGGAAGAGCGTCACGAACGGAGTGATGCCGGCGGCCAGTAAGTCGTCGGCAAGTTTGACGTAAAAGTCGATACCGGCCTGGTTGATGGGATCGTTTCGGCCGCCCTTGGGGATGACACGAGACCACGAGATGGAGAATCGGTACGCTTTGGCGCCCGTCTTTTGCAACAGTTCAATGTCTTGTGCCGTGCGATGGTACGAGTCACATGCGACGTCCCCAGAACTGCCATCGGCGATTTTGCCTGGGATTTTGCAAAACGTGTCCCATATTGAGGGACCTCGGCCGTCTGCAGTGGCACCACCTTCGATTTGGTATCTGATCAAAACAATGTCAATGAGGAACAATGTCATTGGGGTCGGGGTAGTGTGTGAGTGAATCGACAAGCAGCGCTGGGATATACGATATAGTAAATGGAAATGAGAAAACTTACGCTGCTGTCGCGAATCCCCAGAGGAAATCAGATGGCAATCCTGCCTTGGCAGCAACGTCTCTAACCATGTTTTTAGGTCGTCGATCGGGTTTAAGCCAAAACTAGAATCTTTCTGTGTTGTAAATGTTGTTGTATCTCTGTAATCTTTCGGAGAATTTCTTGTGAGTGGTAAGTAGTAGTAGTAGTAGCAGAATGTTGATCGTTTTTATATTGTGTCTCGATCTGTATCAATAGCAGCACCGATGAAGTTGTTGACAATGAATCATACAATACACGGAATGAATGACTGTTCTTGCAAGTGGCTATCGGCGGTGATCGTGACGGATGTTGTTGTTGCTGGTGGTGATATCGTCGACGATGTGTAAAGAGATTGACTGACTGGCTGACTACCTTGTGAACGTCTCCGTCCCTGTTGATGGATAGAATCCAAGATTGACAAGGGTCAGAAAGGTGGCCAACATAGCTTGCTAAATATCAATTGCCAGGATCCCATCTGAAATATTTGTATCCCGTAAGTCGGTCAAGCACGCACCAAGTTTCGTTCATCCACGGGATGGGCAAAGAAGTGCCAGAGTTTACCCTTTGGTCTGTTCTACCTTTCAGTTGGATTGCTCTTTCATGCTCCATACGTACAGTTACACCTCCACCCACGAGAGCCACAACTGGTGGTTCTACCGCATTTGGCCGCGGAGGGTTGTTTGGTTCACGCGAAAAAGGTGCCAGTCCGAATATTAGCCTAACAGCCTGTTTTTTAACCGTTCTGCATCTACTCCGTAAGTCAGACACGGTTCTACCTCGGGAGTTCGTTCTTCTTCGTCCAACCCTACAGACAACTCACTACTCTTTTACTCGTACTTGGTGTAACTTGGCGTTGACGCTCGCTCCGGATTCTCCACTGAGAGAAAAGGATACGAGGGAAGATGCGCACCGAAGTTCTGGGACATGGGCGGATGACCACCCTGGCCGAGTTTCAAGGACATTGTCGCCATCGAAGAAGAAAGATCTAAACAAGATATAGAACAAGCCGCTCACAAAGCTCCCACTGATACAACACGCCTGCCCTTCGTATCCCTAGCCATCGTATGATCTCTCGTGCAAGCCATAACGAGATAACCTTCTATTGCATCCAAAGCATGCCAAAGCGATACCACGGTATTCATCAAATGTTGTCTGCGTGAAAGGACAAGCATCTTCCAAAAAATCCGCATACGGTGACCTACAGATCATCTTCAGTTTCATCTGCGGGCTCTTTCATCCTCCAAGTAATAAATGCGGCAACCAGTGTAGCTGCTCCACCAATCCTCAAAGTCCACCCCACACTCACATCCCCAGGGACGTTTCTAGGCTTCTGCAAGAGTTTGAATATGGCACTGCTGATAAGTGTGGCTACAATTTGTGGAGCACTGATAGCGACATTGTGTAGGCCGAGAATGATCCCGGCTTGGTCTTCCTCCTCGTCCATTTTACTATCGGTGATATTGTCGTCTCCATTCATCAAGCGTTGTCGGTAACGCTTTCTTCTCATCTCGTCCCGTTTGGAAATTTCCGCCGAGATCAGAGCAAAAGGAGCCCAAAGCGTCAAGGACCACGAGACGCCTACGAAAGCAGTCATGATGGTTGCCGCTAACGGTGTGGAGATGAAGAAAGTACTGAACATGCACACTGAAAACAAAAGTTGTGAAAGCAGCCATGTTCGTCGGAGAGTCAATCCAGGAATTTGTATCTTGGTCAAGAATCGTCTAATACCACTAGGGCCCTTTGCACTTGGATCTGACAGGTGAGAGTCCCCAGAGATATACCGGTTGATGTTGAGATCGCTTTGTGACCTTGGAGGTGGATTATCGAAGAAGGGGAATTCGTCGTACCTCGTGGCAATCGGAGAGTTTGGTGTCACTGGCTGGCTATGAGCCCGGTGATGATGAGCTTCAAACCAGGGATATTCCGATGATCTCGTGCCGATGGGTGAAGTCGGGGTTAGAACAGGCTGCGTGAAGATATCATCTACATCATCAGGGACTGCCCGAGTTTCGTAGGCTGGAACCACCAAAAATGGCAGTATAATGTTCGACGAAAATGCAGTAATGGCATAGATCAGTAGAGCAAAGGTGCCTATTCGAGTAGCCTTTGCCCACAGCTTCTCGACCTCGGCATCGGAAAGTCCTGGCTCCAGGTATGGATTTACGTAAAGTTGTCCAATATAGGTGGTGATGTAAAACAGGAATGGAAACCACCCCATCCAATGAAAGAACTGGACTTCACAGACTTTGCGTATCTGAGGTGGTAGACGCTTGATTGAGACGAAGACCTGTCTAAAGAAGGCCATGAAGCCAGTAGACTCATTGTCCGCTTTGGAAGGAGGGTCGTGCTGCGGGTTCCGTTCCTTGATGGTGAGAATACTAAGCAGCACTGTCGACCCAAGTGCGATGGATGCGATAACCACCAAGACCTTGAATTGAGTGTTTCCGAAGAAGTGGAAGTACTTCGGCAGATCGAGGTATCCAAAGACATAGCCTAACACATTTCCGACACCAGTCATACGTGAGGCCCACGCATTCGCTGACTCTTGCTGATGAGATGGGGCGCCATCTACAATGAATGCGCGAATAGCTGCTTGGACTGTGAGGTGTTAGCTTGGTCTGTGTAGGGTCTTCGTGGGAACTGACCCGTGTTGATGGCAAAGTCAAGACACCACATCATCACAGTAGCCAAGACTATTGTAGCAGTCATATAACCTCCTGTATATGGTGCATCAATGTCGAGTCCTCCAATCAGACGGACGATATCTCGGGAATACGCAAGTATCATGGATGTAACGACAACTCCGAGTGCTCCAGCAATCATAAAAGGCTTGCGTTTGCCCCAGGAAACTCGACATCGATCACTTAGAATACCGATGTACGGCTGAACAAGGGCTCCTGTCAGGGGGCCAGCAAGCCAGACCCCAGCGAGGAGAGCCTTGCTCATGCCAAGCGACAACAGGTAAGGCGATCCATTGGACAATTCGACAGACCAAACAATCTGGAGTCCTCCGATGCTCGTCGTTAGGAGAATCAAGTACCAGGTGCTTTTGCTGACGATGATCGAGTCTTCGAGGCCAATAGTTTCCGATGGCGGTCTGTCATTGGAGAGAAGTGGTTCATTTGGAGTCGAGCCATCCTCCGAGGGTGATGTTTCGGTAAGCGTTGCTTGTGGGACTTCGCTATGTTGGATAGTCACAGCCTGAATGAGCGGGGATCGCTCATCATTGTCGGCACCCTGATCCCTACGTGGCATCAGAATATCTGCTGATTGAGACGGTGAATGAGATTTCTTGCGAGAAAGGTAAATAACGTCGTCGAAAAAGGTGAAATCAATGACGAAACAACGGGATGTAAGAGGAATGGGGACTATCCGAGGCTGGAACTGCTTCACACCATCTTCGTCCGGCGTGCTGGATGCTGGAGACTATCTTGAGGTTGAGAGGCAAGAGGAAAGCGTGAGAAAGCATAAGTAGTCGGAGACGAGGAGAAAGGTGTTGGCGACAAGGAAATATCGGCATATAGAGTCTAAGTAGAAGAATTCAATTGATTCTGTCAAGTTGGAAGGGGAGAATGAATGACCATGTCATGCGATGTCGTGTTTCTGCCCAGCGAAAATGCCGATTGGCTGACGAGGCTGTACGTTGCTTGTGCCTGCGCCGCTTTCAACACCAAAAGACCCCAAGCGACTGAACAGCCATCCAGGCCACAACGTATCAAGTCCAGACAACTGTCATTCCTTCCACGATACCTCGCGTAAACCTCTGCGATCCTGTGGTCGCCTTGAGAAAAGTCAGTCGACCACTCAGAGACACCCAACAAGCAGCTCCCTGCTCACCCCTCCGCCATCGACAAACGCTTGACCTCTACGAATACAGAGCAAGTCACCAGCGAAACACCCAACCCTCGACAAGATGAAACCCGTGGTATCTGCATTCAACGCCTGGAGCTGGTCAGTCGCCCGGAGAGTCGTTCGGGAGCATGGCAATTAACAATATCTCAACAGCACCGTCATATCATGCTTCGCCGTCGTGATTCTCTCCGTCATCGGTAGTCTCTTTTCGGTACGAGTTTGATCCCCTTCGAAGCCCATTTCAATGTCGTCCTGTTACACAGAGTCGAACCCAGGGACTCTCTTTTCAATTGGTAGGACGCTAACACTTTGGAAATACAGAGGGATCACCACATCATGATGGGTATGGAGGAAAACCCTGAAGACCACGCCGCGGTCGCCTCAGCCATCTTCATCAGCGTAGCAGTATATGCTGTGAGTTTGTCTTCCAAGTGAAGCAAAAGCGCAATGAGCTGACATCTATTAGGGTTTCCTGGTATTCTGCGGATTCCAGGCCTGGCTACATGTACGGGCGAGTCGAAGGGGAGCAATATCACTATGACAACGGTGGATGGGAGTGAAGAGAAAGTATAGATGTTTTGATCAGACAATGGCGTTACGAGAAATCTTTCAGCGTTTGGAGGTCAACAAAGACCTGGAAGGTGGCAGATTCCTACCTTGGGATTGTGGACTGAGATACCGGCTAGCAATTGCAGCAATTGTACAGTGTTATCAAGCTTCCCGATTACGGGTACCAAAACTACAAGAACATCTCCGTGAATGCGACCTTATCCCGCCGCCCCCCTTACTGGAAGATTGTTGAAAAGGTATGACACTCGTGGCCTGCTTTAAATGAGATCCCGCGCGACAAATTGTTCGTGAAGAGCTTTGCCCAACGAGGCCGGGCTTCGCTCGACAACGACACCGGCTGCTTCGAGAGCGGCAATCTTGGAGTCGGCACCACCCTTGCCACCACTGATGATGGCACCGGCGTGACCCATTCTTCGTCCAGGAGGTGCACTGATACCAGCGATGAAGCTGACCGCAGGCTTGTTCTTCTTGTTCTCGCTCTTCAAAAACTCGGCCGCATCTTCTTCGGCGCTGCCTCCAATTTCACCAATCATGATAATTCCTTCCGTCTCGTCATCCTCCATGAAGACCTTTAGGCAGTCGATGAAATTGGTGCCGCTGAATGGATCACCTCCAATACCAACGACCAAAGATTGTCCGAGTCCCGCTTGTGTGGTTTGGTTGACAGCTTCATATGTCAAAGTTCCTGATCGCGAAACGATCCCCACTCTTCCTCGCTTGTGGATGAATCCAGGCATGATACCGATCTTGCATTGGCCAGGAGCACTTTCAAAGTCAGTACGCGAGCTCGAAAGTAGGGGAGAGGATATTCACATGACACCAGGACAGTTTGGACCAACGAGACGGGTCTTGTTTTGGGTCTTGAGAATGTTGGTCACCTAGAATAAAAGATTAACACCGCTTTCACACATCTCAAGAAGTCAGGTTGACTTACTTTAACCATGTCGTGCTGTGGAATACCTGTGATAGATGTTAGAACTTGCTGCAAGCCGATCTTTGTTTATATTGAACGAACCTTCGGTGATGCAGACGACCAGGGGAATCTCGGCCTCGACAGCCTCCAGAATACCGGCAGCAGCCAAAGGTGGAGGGACAAAGATGACCTTTTCATATTATCAGCGCCTTCGTTGTTGTGACTGGACATCTCTTGAATCTCTGCCACTTACACTTGCATTGGCGCCAGTCTGCTTCACTCCTTCACTCACGTTCTTGAATACTGGGAGATCGAGGTGTGTAGAGCCGGCCTGGGATCGAAATCAACATATGTTATTTATTCATCGTTGCAATGCACCCATCGCAGACAACAATCGGGAATACCTTTTTGGGATTTGTGCCGCCCACGACCTTTGTGCCATACTCGATCGCTTGTCGGGCGTGGAAAGTTCCCTGCTTGCCGGTGAAACCTTGGAAAAGCACTTTCGTATCTGAGTTGATCCTGAGGTTAGGGATGGTTTCTTGATATGCAGCCGCAGCCGAGACTGTAGCGTAGGATCTGGTCGGTCGAGATGCCTGGCGCAGCGCCGAGGAGGCGCAGGTCTTGAATGCCTGCATGGCTACAACTTGGAGAGGCCTGCACTCGAGCACTAAGAGATGCTCAACTTGACTAGGCAGGAGGACAAGTAGATATCAAGAATCGAGCTCGTTGTCTGCGGAGTAGGAGCTTTCCGCCAGATTGGTTTGAACCAGCCTGCGAAAGCTTCCGACCCGAGAATGAACCGTTATACATTGGTTCGCTTATTTTGTCCATTTCATACTGCTGCTTTTATCTGTCTCATCCCATACATACCTACCCTGGGGTCATGGCATTCTTCTTCCTCTTTGACACACACTTCTCATGCTATATTGATTGCGTTAAGGGTTCGCACGAATCATATCTCCTCCTTCAATGCCTAGGTAACTATCCCATCTTCTTGCGGCAAGGTTTGGAGTTGCTCTCTGAGAGCCTTGGATTGGGAAATTCCAAAATCTGAGGAAATATCTATCGACGGTCGCAACAACGTCAGGCGTGGTTGAGATCATGTTCACATCTTGCAAGTTCTATCATGCTCCCCGAATTATAGGCACAATGTTCTACTTCGACCAAGCGCACCACACCTCGATGGCATGATACCATTTGCGGTTCTGTAATCCTGGGATATGAAGTTCCCACACGTAGAGACTCAGTCAGGGCTGTACGAGTCAAGACTCAGTCTCAATCATAGATAGCTGTGCTCCTCTTAGGCAATACTGAAGGCTGAATCACGAATACTTCGCTAGCATCAGATTCAGCGCTGAGGGCTGTGTTGTTCATGCTTTGGACTTGACCGGGCGTCTGCTGAGATGAAGGCGGCAGGAAGCATAGCAACTCCTGAGTGTGGCGCGGTTCAACTGTTGATGCCAGGTTGGTGTTTAGAGATCTGCCAGGTAGTTACTGTGAATTAGGTATCCATGTATTTGAATCTACCCCATCCTACTCCGTAGGTACCTACTTATTTACTGGTGATACGGAGTAAATATCTTACACTCCCGACGCCAAGAAGTGGGAACCCTCTCGCCACGTGATATGGAAATTTCATGTTTCAACCATCAACGGTTTTGCCTCGTTACCAGTCCGCACAATTTTGGCAGGAAGATTCTTTACCATGGCGACGGAAACAGTGGTCAGGACAAGGGTAAAGCCAGGCAAAAATGAAAACCTGGCCCCCGAAAGCGTCCGCTTTATGCAAGCATGTAACGACATTGCCCGAGCCCTGATTCAAGAGTACGAGGCCAGCCTTGATGACAGCAAACCGAAGAAAGATATCAATCTCAATCGACTGCGAGGAGATGTCGCACGAAAACATAAACTCAGCAATCAGCCCCCATTGACTGGGATCTTGTCAGCTGTGCCCGAGAATTACAAAAAGGCTCTTTTGCCCAAATTGATAGCAAAGCCAGTACGCAGCGCAAGTGGAATTGTTGTGGTTGCAGTAATGAGTAAACCACATCGTTGCCCGGTATGTACATCAGCCTCTAGCAAAATCGCATTGATACTGACTGGGTTCTTCACAGCATATCGCATGGACTGGGTAAAGATGACTTGTATCCTTAGAAATGATTGTTGCTGATGTGAAACCAGGCATGCTTGTGTTTACTGCCCTGGGGGTCCAGACTCCGACTTTGAATATTCGACGCAATCCTACACTGGATACGAACCTACCTCGATGCGAGCAATCCGTGCACGATATGATCCCTTCGAACAGGCGCGAGGCAGAATCGACCAGCTCAAGTCTCTCGGACATAGCGTGGATAAGGTTGAGTTCATTCTCATGGGAGGCACCTTTATGTCACTTGATAAGGCATATCGTGATAACTTTGTTGCTCAACTCCACAATGCATTATCTGGGTATCAGACCGAAAACGTCGATGAGGCAGTCGCTGCAGGTGAAATGTCAACGATCAAATGTGTAGGTTTGACGATTGAAACACGTCCAGACTTTGGACAGATCGACCATCTCTCAGATATGCTCAGATACGGCTGCACGCGACTTGAGCTTGGTGTCCAGTCGTTGTATGAAGACGTGGCGAGAGATTCCAACAGAGGGCACACTGTGGCGGCAGTGGTGGAATCTTTCAAGTTCTGCAAGGATGCTGGTTTCAAAGTTGTCTCTCATATGATGCCCGACTTGCCTAATGTTGGTATGGAGCGTGATATTTTCCAGTTTGAGGAGTATTTCGAGAACCCAGATTTCAGAACGGATGGATTGAAGATATATCCCACTCTCGTTATCCGAGGTACAGGCCTCTATGAACTTTGGCGGACGGGTCGATTCAAGAACTACACTCCAAATGCGCTTGTTGACCTGGTCGCAAGGATCCTGGCGCTTGTCCCGCCCTGGACCAGAATTTACAGAGTACAACGAGACATCCCTATGCCTCTCGTCACCTCGGGCGTTGAGAACGGTAACCTCAGAGAATTAGCACTTTCCCGGATGAAAGACTTCGGAACCACCTGTCGAGATATTCGAACTCGCGAAGTCGGAATCAACGAAGTGAAGAACAAAATCCGCCCATCACAAGTCGAACTTGTCCGCAGGGACTACATGGCCAATGATGGCTGGGAGACATTCCTTGCATACGAAGACCCCAAACAAGATATTCTCATTGGCATGCTGAGATTAAGAAAGTGCACTGCCGAATATACCTTCCGACCGGAACTTACTGGACGACCAACAAGTATTGTCCGCGAACTCCATGTCTATGGCCTTGCCGTGCCTATCCATGGACGCGAAAAGAGCAGGTTTCAACATCAGGGCTACGGTACACTCCTCATGAAAGAAGCCGAACGCATCGCCAGAGACGAGCACGGCAGTGAAAAGCTCAGCGTCATCAGCGGTGTGGGCGTCAGAAGCTACTATGAGCGCCTTGGCTACACGTTGGATGGACCTTATATGAGCAAGATTCTCAATTTTGACGACGACGAACCTGAGGTCTGATAGAGGATAATGCTTCGTAAGGCTACAACAACATGCGACAAGCTCTCAACGCTCCGACCTGAGGCGTCTCGGACGAAGAAGGCTTCAGAAAGCTCAAAAATACAGACAGGAAGGTGTCATCTCTCGAGTTTTCGGCAGCAAAACAATACTCCCGAGTCCTAGCCACCTCGGGGATACGGCTTGACTTCTTATGAGCAGTCCACGATGACAACAATCAGATCAGGAAGACCAGGGGCCACGATTATTCGGCTCAGATCTTTGAAAGCAACGATGCAGAAATGCGTCACATACAGCCTGCTTAAGTCCACGGTATCGAAACAAAGGCAATATAGCCCAATTCACCACCGTCATTGTCACAAACAGCAGGGTCAGCTAACAGGAGCATATTAAAAACTCCGACGGCCGGAAGATGCACTGACAATGCAGAAAATGGAAATTTATGGCAAGGCTCCGCGGCCCCACCATGTTGGAATCAAACAGACGTTGATTGGTCGGCGATAAGCGATAAGCCGAAAGACACAAATCGCGTCATCTGCAATTTTTCTCGACATCTCGCCGTCTGCAGGTGTTTGAATGAGTCTTTCTCCGAGCGACGTTGTTTCTTACACCATGCATTGATTTTACCGAGTCATATTTCTCTTACCATTTCATTTCATCTCATTGTCTAGCATAGCCATGGCGTCTTGGTCCTGTTTATAACCATTTTCCTCCTCACAATACTCTCCACCCAACAAAGTTCCCCGCGACGATATTCGATTTAGGACGCCATGACTGTCCCCGCCCTGTTGACTGCTCAGGCCTGTGTTGACCAGGTGCATGTCATTCTGGGCTCTGGGCCCTTAGCAGCCTCCAGATGTTTCAAGTCTCTCGAAGTCGGTGCTCATCCAGTCATTATTACACCAAACGCTGCAGATCTACACTTCAACCTCTTCGCGTGCATCGAAGACGGCAGGGTTCGGCATATAGAGCGAGATTTTGAAGAGGAGGACCTTCAAACACTGGGAAGGGAGGAAGTGGAAGGATATGTGGATGCGGTCTTCGTCACATTGCCTGCGAAGGAGCCGCAGGTTGCGAACATTGCAAACCTGTGCAAGCGTATGCGCATTCCTGTGAATGTGGTCGACGCACCTCATCTTTGCACCTTCACACTCCTATCCGCATATTCCGACGGTCCATTACAGATTGGTATCACCACATCCGGGAATGGCTGCAAACTATCGTCTCGCATCAGGCGGGAGATCGCGTCTGCCCTTCCACCCAAATTCGGTGCAGCGGTAGATCGACTAGGAACGGTTAGACGTCGGATATGGGAAGAAGACTATAAGTCACAAACTGCAAACTCAACGGAAGTGATCGATGCAGAGGTCGACGATGACGATGGTGCTGCTCAAAAGCATACTTTCAATTCGCTGGTGAGAGAAGACGACAAAGACCCGGGAGTTCTCCGCACCAGACGTATGAGGTGGCTTTCACAGATATGCGAGTATTGGCCATTGAGTCGACTGGCAGCCATCACAGATGATGATGTCTCAGCCATCCTGGAAGCATACAGGACCACTGCACAGCCTCCAGCGCTAGACTCTGATTCAAGCAACCATCTCATGCCTGCTCTACCTTTACATCGGGGTACTATCACTCTGGCTGGCTCAGGCCCCGGCCATCCTTCCCTACTGACTATTGCAACTCGGACCGCCATCGATAATGCACATCTTATACTTGCAGACAAGTTGGTCCCCGCTGAAATCTTGGCTCTTATTCCTCGTCGAACTCCGGTGCATATTGCTCGCAAATTCCCTGGTAACGCGGATGCTGCTCAAGAAGAGCTCCTACAGCTTGGACTCAATGCAATGAAGCAAGGCAAGGATGTTTTGAGACTTAAGCAGGGAGACCCTTATCTGTATGGCCGAGGCGCCGAAGAATTCTCATTCTTCAGGGAACGGGGCTTTGAAGTCAGAGTGATCCCCGGTATTACCAGTGCAATGTCTGCACCCCTTTTTGCAGATATTCCGGTCACCCATCGAGCTGTGGCTGATCAAGTTGTTATATGTACTGGTACGGGGCGGAAAGGAGCAGCACCAGAGCCGCCCTCCTATCGACCAAGCAAGACGGTTGTCTTTTTAATGGCTTTGCACAGGCTGGAGAGTCTAGTTCAAACTTTGACGGTGGCCTCTCAAGATTCGGGAAACCCACCTCATGCTCGCCGATTATGGCCGGTCACGACACCTTGCGCTGTGATTGAGCGTGCAAGCTGTCCTGACCAGAGGGTCATACGATCTACCTTGGAACACGTGGTACAGGCCGTCGAAGAAGAAGGGTCCAGACCGCCGGGGCTGCTTGTTGTTGGAAAATCCTGTGAAGTGCTGCATAAGCTTGAGGAGGGAAAGGCATGGTTGGTGGAAGAAGGGTTCAGGAGCTTAGATTCTATCGGATCTTCTCCTTCCGAATTGATCGTGTTGAAGGAATTAGAACAAGCATCTACTAGGGAGGTTGTCCCAACAAAGACTGCTTGATTTACGTGGTTATGCCTACCAAATAATGTCACATCGACCAAACATTACGGATATTACGGTGTCACGATACCCATATAGCATATACAGAATGAAAGCCTTATAATAGGAGTTGCACTGATCATGGTAATCAAAGGGTATTGTAATTGCTCTACATGGTTTAAATGTTCATTTAGATTTGTCCAAGGAGTTTCTCTTCCCTCGTCGTATCTGTAATTGAGACAATGTCGAACCCTCTAAATTCGGTGGCGCCTCGTATTCGCAATCCCGGAATAGACGACCAGCCATCGATATTAATCCCTCCTTTCCTTTCTATTTCACTCAAGCTCATCAACAATAGCAATAATACAAAAGGGCAGGCAAAACCTTTCCCCCTCGAATCTGTCCTGACAAAAGAATCGTGTTCAATAAAAAGTGATGGTTCAGCCAACGGCGGGCGAAGTCCCCTACGGCTCGAGCTCAATCCACTCGGGCGCAATCGACTGCTCGGAACCCATCAACTACGACAATCTCAGGGGGAAGCTGATTGTCATCACCGGCGGAGCATCTGGGTTCGGAAAGTCATGTTTCGAGCTGTGGGCCAAATACGGCGCCAACATCATCATAGGCGACATCAACGACAAGACGGGCACGGAACTTGTGGCACAGGTGCGAGCTTCCAGCGGGAATCCCAACCACCACTTCATCCACCTCGATGTGACGAGCTGGGAGAGCCAAGCGGCGTTCTTCAAGCAAGCAGCCAGCCTCAGTCCACACGGAGGCATCGACTGTGTCATGGCCAATGCCGGCATAGCCGATGGCCTAGAAAACGCCGTCTTCGAAGAACCACCGGACTACGCAAACATGGACAACCCACCCCCACCGAAAATGAGGACGCTCGATACGAATCTGGACGGGGTCATGTTCACCACGAACCTGGCCTTGTCGTACCTGTCACGAAATCCGGGCAGTGACAAGTGCAAGGTCGATGGTGGGAAGACAGCACCGCGCGATCGACATTTGATTCTCGTATCCTCCATCGCAGGTCTGGCGGGTCTCCCTTCCCAACCGATCTATGCCACGGCGAAGCACGGTGTGGTCGGACTGTTCCGGTCTCTGCGCATCACGACGCCCATCAAGCATGGGATCAGGGTGAACATGATCAACCCGTACTTTGTCGACACGCCTATTCTAGGGTCGTTGGGCGCGCTTGTTCTCGCAGGAGGCGGAATGGCTTCGATAGAGGACGTGGTCGAAGCTACGACGCGCCTCGCGAGCGATCAAGGCATCATTGGACGGGCACTGGTCATCGCCTCAAAGACGACCGAGGAGCATGCCCACGCGACGGGCCTGGAGAGAGTCGCAGGGAGTCAGGCGTATTGGGACGTCTATGCCCATGATTTCGATCAATCAGACCTGTTCACGAGGAGGATCATTGGTGTTACGAACTTGGTCACGCAGGCTCGAGGGTGGGCTGGCATTGTGCAAGACGTGCGCAGAAAAATCTCCGGAACTCTATGGAAGATGGTTGGATACTAAACGGTAGACACAATACACATCTCGAAGCCATGTCGCCGCTGTTATCTCATGATGAATGAATGTTCTTTGGGCCCGGATTGACGATTGATGTAGACAAAAGATGGTCTCAAGTATGGTTTCAATCTGATTGATCTACAAGTGGTGACTGAGCAATGTCGTCTCACACCCAGGCACGGATACGAGAATTCCACCCCGTTCCGCTGGACACTTGATCCTACAGCCTGTTGTTCCTTGTGAGATGATGCTCTTGCCAAGCACCATGATAGATAATCGTTCACGTGTGGCTTACCGAGTGATTTCTCTAAAGGGTCAGCCAGTCGTCCTTGGGTAAGGAAGTCCTGGTTGAGTGTGTGGAGAAATCCATCCTTCCAGCATCAGCTCATTCTTCTCACGATCCATGATACCATCAGCACAATATCAGCACATCATTAACAATACGGGTCGTGTTTTGGACGTGGAGAACCAAACGTGAAGCTGGACTTCAAAGAGCTTCCGCCAGTTTGACTCAAGATTCGCAACTTGTTCCGTGTTTCTGCCCGTTTGCGCATCGGGGGGCCTGACGATCGACTCCTTCATCACAAGGTTTACCGATACTCGGTATCCGCGTTCTGTGGCCAATGATCGACTCAGGCGCCCTGGACCGTCTCAAGTCTGTGCCTTGTCAGCCCTACTCTCTACAATCGGTAACTGGTTCGATGGTCCTGGCGAGACTATTATTGAACCTACATACTCCATACCATGCCACGCCGATCTACGTTCCGCAAAGATGACGGCATGTGCCATCTTGCAGCGATGCTCCAGGGCTTGTCCGTATATGACGGCGTGGTCCTCCCGGGCAGTTCAGTGGGCTTGCTTGCTGTGACAAAGTGGTATGTGACTGTTGTGGTCTGAATCTTCCGACCATGCTGCTCTTCCTTCGACTATTACCCGCCCTTCTATGGATCCAAGCAATCTGTGCTATTCCTCCAAGCCCCAATGCCAGACCTGACTATGTGCTTGTTGCGACGGCGAAGAACCTCGCCATTAATTGCCAGAGGCGGTACTCGGTGGTGATCAATGGCACAAGTCCAGGGCCGACACTTTATTTGAAGGAGAATTTCACCACATGGATCAGAGTGTACAATAGGATTCCCGACCAGAATCTTACTGTGGTATGTTGTTGTTGACTGGTATTTCTCTGCGAACGGGACGAGAAATGAGCTGAAAATTATGCTTCATCAATAGCACTGGCACGGGTTGAGTCAACGAACGTCTCCCTTCTCAGATGGGACACCTGAGGTCTCACAGTGGCCGATCGCTTCGAATGAGTTCTTCGATTATAGTGTGACACCCGCAGTCGGTGATGCAGGATCATATTTCTACCATTCGCACATCGGATTCCAGTCCAACACGGCGCAGGGGGTGGTCATCGTCCAGGACCAAGGAAAGGTCCCCTACGATTACGACGGCGACAAATCCTTCTTCATCCAGGACTATTTCCCCAGCAACGACAGTACCATCTTCAATGGTCTAATTGCCAACCCGTTCAAATGGTCTGGCGAGCCAGAAGCTATATCGATCAACAGCTTCAGTGGTAACTCCTCCTTCAGTAACGCGACGGACGCGACGTGTACACCGTATGTCGTCAACGTCTCACCAGGGACGACGTACAGGTGGCGGTTCATCAGTGCCACTGCGCTCTCACTGGTCACTCTTGGTATCGAGGAACACAAGAACCTGACAATTATCGAAGCGGACGGCGAATACACCAAACCTTGGAGGACCGATCATCTCCAACTCGGCAGTGGTCAACGGTTCAGTGTGCTCTTCAAGACAAAGACGCAAGCTGAGCTCGACGCGGCCAACAAGACCAGCTTCTGGCTCTGGTACGAGAGTCGAGACAGGCCCACAAACGTGTCCGGTTATGCTTTGCTGCAGTACAATGTCAGTGGATCGAAGCAGCCTTCCCTGTTACCTGAAACTCCTCCCATCACTCTCCCGACGAATGTGACGACTTGGGCCGAATATGCACTTGAAGCACTGCATCCACAGGAAGCTTTTCCAAAGCTATCCGAGGTGACGCGGACGGTGTATATCACCATGCAGCAGCAGATGAAGGTGGGATCGTACGTGAATGGGACTATCAATGGCACCCTGCAGTGGGCGTAAGTGTGATCCTGACTCATCCTCCCGTACCTGAGCAGTCCAATCCAGTCCAGTTTTCGTGATTCGCGCCGTTGAAAGTGTTAGGCACTGACGGTAAACCTCATATAGACAAGACAATCTCATTTGGCAGACAGCGCAACGACAATCCAACAACAGCCTCCCGTACCTCGTACAGGTGTACTTGACTGGTCAGACTCCCAATTACACGGCAGCCGTCGAGAACGGAGGCTGGGATCCATACTCAAATGCCTTCCCTGCGTTACCTGGAGAAGTTCTCGACATTGTTTGGCTGAGTAATTCCGGTCCGACTGGTGGCTGGGACTTTCACCCCATGCATGCGCATGGCAAGCATTATTTTGACCTTGGCTCTGGGTGAGTAGTGAATTCCACCCCTGATGCAAAAAGGACTTTTCGTCACTGATTCTTGGATTCGTAGTAACGGGACATACAATGCCACGGCAAACGAGGTCAAGTTTGCAAATTATACCCCTGCACGACGCGATACGACGATGCTGTATCGGTATGCCGTCTCGGGCCTTCCGGAGACCACGGCCGGATGGCGAGCATGGCGAATCAGAGTGACCGAGGATGATGTTGGTGCTTGGATGATGCATTGCCATGTTTTGCAGCATATGATAATGGGTGAGTCATTTCTTGCGAACAGGTTTGAGCGGGCCTGAAGACTGACAAGGTTGTCACAGGTATGCAAACTGTTTGGGTGTTTGGGAATGCCAGCTCGATATTATCCAAGTTTCCAACCCAACCATATGTGAATGGCTATTTGAACTTTGGTGGAGATGCGTATGGAAATGATACTTACGACCCATTGGTGAATCTATACTCGACCACGTAAGGATACCTTGAGCATATTGTCAAAGAGAGGCGCAGAGTACTGGAATATATTTTCAATTTTAGGCGAGACCAAGCAGCATGCAGCACATAACAACATCTCATTCAAGGTTTCATTCCAGACCTCAGATCTTCAACTGAATGGATATAAGAGAATATGAGGAATACTTCCATTAAACAATTATCGCTTTCTTCACTATTGAGTGATGGTATTCGCAAGTTGCTGGATTTCGATGATAGAACTCTCCTCTCAGATTAATATGTTAGTCAGACAAGTCAACTAGAGGTGCAGATCCCGATGGTATGGCGGCTAAATAATGCCGTCAGACACAATATCAGTATTACCCCAGACTGGTATCGGCTAAACTGCCTCCTTGGATCATTCCAAGTTTCCCTTTGGTGACAATCTTTGTCACTGTCCGAGAATCAATGCAACAACACTTCACACCATCCTTCTTCTTTCCCGGTTCTCGCTATTTAGTTGCAGAGAAGAAGCTGGTCGGGAGATTTCATATTGTTGCGCGCTACAATTCTCCCGATACGAACAGCATGAGGCAGAGTTCCACCCCCGACCTGCCAGCCCATGCATGAATATCTGCGAGCCTCGAATAGGAGCCATGTCCAAGGCATGCTAAGGTCTCGGAGATCCCTCGTCCTCATCTGCCTACTTGCGACCATCGCATTCACCACATTCCTCCTACGACGCCCGCAGGTCATCCTTGAAGAGTCGGCGGCCTTTTCGCTCCTCCACGGCCACCATGCGCACGAAGAGAACCAGCCACTGCTCCCGGCGACGTCACTCCTCCATCCGGTCCACCAGCTCGTAGCGCGGGCAGAGGGGGATTTCCAGACCGTGCGAGCACGTCAGTCGCGGTCCCTCAGCGACGCCGTGGCAGAATACCGCAGGCGGTACAAGCTGCCACCTCCACCGCACTTTGACAAGTGGTACGATTTCGCGAAGAAGAGGGGGGTCGAGTTGATAGACGAATATGACACGATATACCACCAGCTGTTGCCCTTTTGGGCGCTGGAACCTCACGTCATCCGGGAACGAACGAGGGAGGCGATCGGGTTCGACAATGCGCTCATCGCCGTCATGATCCGGAACGGCCAGGTCACAAAGATCGAAGGAGGAGGTGACATGTACGCATGGCACCGCGAAGCCACGCCCATCATGCTCAAGGAGTTCATCAAATGGCTCCCGGACATGGACCTGCCGTTCAACATCCACGACGAGCCCCGTGTGGTCATGCAGCATGACGACCTCCTCCACCATGTCCAGGTCGCCAAAGACCAAAACATGCCCAAAGCCTACACGGCGCAGACACTCTCAAACTCGTGGTCGCCCCGACCCGGCGACCTAGGCGAAGGCGTTCGCATCAAAGAGTACAAGACGACGCGCTTCAATCGTTTTGCCCACCAACCTACCTGGAGCGACTCTCGCCTGTCGTGTTCGCCAGACAGCCCAGCTCGCGTCTGCTTGAACGACTCCTGTCCGGACAACACAACCGCCTACTCGGGTGTCCCACTCGGCTTCATCAGCAACACCACCGCGTTCAGCGACATTTGCAACTCGCCGTCCATGGAACGGACGTTTGGCTTTTTCGATCGACCCAACGCCTTCGACGTGACGCACGAGCTGTTTCCCATCTTCTCCCAGTCCAAGATCTCCAGCTTCCAAGACATCCTGTACCCTTCGCCGTGGTACTACATGGGCCGCGTCACCTACGAGAAGGATCGCGATATGCCGTGGGAGGAGAAAAAGGCCACCATGTACTGGCGCGGCAGCACGACGGGCGGGTTTTCTCGCGACGGTGGCTGGCGGCGCCAACATCGCCAACGGTTCCTCACAAAGATCCAACCCTTGAACAAGGCCAAGATCCTCGAACTCGACAACTCGTCCGCCACCGAGACGGTGTGGCGTGAAAAAGAGATCAGCGCCGCGGACGTGGCGCAATATTTCGACGTCAAGTTCACCTACATTGGCCAATGCGACCCTGGCGACTGTGACGCCCAGCGCGAGTATTTCGGCACCGTCGAGCCGGTCAATATGTTTGACGCCCTGGCGTCCAAGTACCTTTTGGACATTGACGGCAATGCATTCTCGGGGAGGTACTATGCTTGGCTGTTGAGCAAGAGTCTGGTCTACAAGCTCGCCGTGTTCCGAGAGTGGCACGACGAGTGGCTCAGGCCGTGGGTGCATTACGTCCCTCTCGGTTTGGCCGGTGACGAGTACGCCGAGAGCGTGCGCTACTTTGATCAAGAGGTCATCGGACGCGTCGAGGGCAAGAGGATCGCAGAGGGAGGTCGAGACTGGGCCCAAAAGGTTTTGAGGAATGATGACTTGGAGGTTTGGTATTTCAGGCTTTTGCTCGAGTAAGTTTTGTTCATACCCAGTCACACAGCAGCACTCAACCCTACACACACCTACACTTACGACCTTACCTGCATACTTTTTGTTTCCCCACCCAAGTTTCAATTGCGATGAGGAATTGCTGCTAATTAATGGTTTTTTTGGGACGATACAGATATGGTCGATTGATCGATGACAATAGATACAACATTGGCTTTTCCCTGTGATGGACACGACAGAAGGGGACCTTTTTTTTCCCGGTACATAGCATGAGGCGTCTTTCGTTGTCGGGGACTACCACTGTGTTACAAAAGACATTCCTGAATCTTGTAGTTCTCTCTTTCTCTCTCTTTCTCTCTCTTTCCCTCGCTGTATCTCCGCCGTCACATGTGTACATAAAACCTTGGGTTGGGCGACCTTTTTTCAAATTGCACAAAGATCCTAATCATACAAGTCCATAACGATATCGACATCGCGTGTACAAAACAGGACATCACATCAAGCGACGCTGGCACGGTAAACGGTCCGTCTGGTTCGGCCAAGGTGGACCAGGTGGGATAGCATGGCATGGCATGGCACAGCATGGCAGGGTAAAATAAAAAAGCAAAGCAAGGCACAAGTGTGGCGTAGCAAAGCAAAGCAAAGCACAACATGTCGACCGCTTCGCACTGCTTCTTTCTATTCTTTGTTCTTGTTCGCTATCTCTTTTTTTCTTCTCGCAGTCGGAATTGGTATCTTCTCTCTCTCTTTCTCTCTCTCTCTCTGTCACACACACACACAAACATACACAAACACACACCCACATAACCAGACACTACTCCGTAATGCACGCGCACACATACGGACGAGTCTCGTATACACAGGTCCACATTGCAACTCGCTCGGCTTTGGAAAGGCTAGGCCACCTCGTTCCCCATAGCCTTACCTCGTTGAACCCTGTACGTATCCGTACCTAAGTTTTCCTCAAGTCATCCATGTTTGTCTGGGTCCATTGTGCACACTGCCAGTCTTGTACGGTTCTACGAGAGGACGACCCCATACCACGGCACGGAAGAACCCATGGCAGGAGTTTGATCGTGAGAGCACTACTGTCCCGTATCCATCCTCTCGCCGGCATTCCAGGTACCTCCAGCCGCGATCGTGGCAAAATACCTGACGTCAACGTCAGAGTCGTCTTGTAGCTTCGTCAAATTGGGCATGATCTGGTCGTTGATGAGTTCCTCGCCCTTTGGGTTGGGCTGGGACGCGGCCGAGTCTGACGCCTCGAGTTCAGCGAGCGTGCCTTCGGCGGGTAGGCGACGGAGTGTGTCAATAAGCACGGAATATGATTTGGCGACATTGAACCGGATGTTGGGGATTGGATCGGTAACGAGACGATCCATCATGGGAAGCACGCTTTCCTGGATGATATCGAATGTGACAACGGGGGCGAGCGTCTAGGGAAACAAATAGTCAGTTCTATAACACCAAGGTTGAGAAGCCAAGGTTCAGCACATACCGTTATAGCAAAGCAGGTCGTCATCCGGTAAAGGTAGTTCTCTTGTTTACTCATGGCATCGACTTTGGGAATGATGGATTCTTTCGCCCAGTCTACACCAAACACTTCGGTGAGTTTCTTGAGGTTTTGGGTGGCAGCTTCTCTGATAGAAAAGACTGTGTCACCCAACCAACCCATACACAAAGAGCTCAGTTGCTCATCAAAGAATTTCATACCCAACTGCTTGGCAAGCAAAGGAATGTACTCGATGATAGCGAGGCGAACGCGCCATTGCTTGTCCTCTGCCAACTGGACGATGGCTGGTAAGAGAGACTGTGAGAGTAGATCGATGCCAATGACGTTGTTAACCAGTTCAAGTTTCGAGATGATGTGAAGGCGGACATCTGGGAATTCGTCCTTGAGCATTTGGAGAAACATGGGGAGAAGATGCGAGATTGTTTCTTCTTTCCCAAGGATTGGAGCCAACCCGCTGAGTTGCGTTCCGAGAGCCGCTCGGACATGCTGTGAAGGGTCGGAAACAAGATCTTCTATGCTCGTCATGATCTCGTTGAGGAGTGTATCCCTGTCAAGCAGACTGCAGAAGCCGGGGATCTGACTGGCAATTGCCGTTCTGACCTCTGCTTCGCTGTCTTTCAACAGCTTCACAAATGCCGGAACTAGGTCCCGTGTTACAACCTCTTCATTGACGGCTTTCGCGATCTTTTCGAATTTCTCCGCGACCATATATCGGACTCTCCAGCTCTTGTCTTCGAACAGGCTTCTCAAAGCCGTCAACAACACTCCGTGGCTCGGTTGCTGTTCTTTGGGAATGACCTCAGCAATGGAGATCAGGACTTCGACGGTGAGGAGCCTGACGCTATCTTGATCATCGCTTGCAAGGTGTTGGAAGAGGGGAATCATTTCGTCAATGACTATGTCGGTAGGGACTTCTTTGATGAATTTTGCCAGGTGATTTGCTGCTTGTCGTCGGACCATTGGTGTCTCATCATGAACAAGATGGCCAAATTGCGTCCGAAGGCCTTGTTGTGAAGCCGCGCTGGCTTTTCGATAAGGAGTAACATAGAGTCCGGTAGCCGAGACCTTCGAAGTGAACCAGTCGGCTTTTGAAAGTCGAATGGTAAGAGGGATAAAATATTCTTCGACTTGTCGCTCGGACAATTGTTCACAAATCTTGTTGAGAGATTCTACGGCCTGCTTCAGTCAGAATTGTATCAAACGTCATATATCATTTCCCTTTCATACCTTGTCTCTCACGAGAGGTTCCTCGATTGCAGCGAGGTTCTCTAGGGGCGCCAAGAGACAATGGCCGTGTTCTGGTCCTCCGACATATTCGATGAAGTTTCCAAGCTCTTCAGCTAATGCTGTCAAGACTTCATCCTCATCCTCAACAGAGTCTGGATCTGGGTCAGTGCTGGAGCATCAATCGAGGCGCAGGGAACAGACCATCCAAAAATGGTATCAACTCATCTCTTGTTCTTTCAGGACCCAAAGCTAAAGCAATAGTTGAGAGTCTGTGTATCGCGTTGAGTCGGAGGAGGACATCGTCGTGCTGTAACCATGTCAGTCTGGGACCAAAACATCTCAGCGAAATGCGACCGCTTCGCACCTTCAGCTCATCGATCAGAACGGCAATTGGGTAGAGCTCATCATTGTTGTCTTGTCCTTCCATGATCAATGTACTTCAAATGTATGTTGTATCGCGTGATCCTCTAGGCGTCCCAACAATGGGAGAGTGTTATTCGTGGGAACTCGCAGGACGGAGGTTGAAGTCGGGCAACCTAAAATAGGGAGAAAGGCTGATTGCAAGATGAGATTTCAGTTGAGGATACAGTGCATTTCGTGCTGGGAGATTTGTTAGTCCGAGTAAACTCGAGCCAGGAGGGGACAGGAGCCTTGTTGGTGTTCAAAGGCTGCGCGCTTTCACAACAGTGGGTTCGGCGTAACAGGTCAACATACCACAAGAGGGCGATTATGAAGGGCCGAATAGAGTGATAGCAACTGTTGAGGTGAGGCCCCGGGTGGAAGATGTCGTGTTCCCGGTACACAGTGACTTGGAATGAGTTGTTATGGGGGGAATTTGCAACGTGGATTAATCACTCTTGCATTGAGCTTCCGTCATATCATTATTGATTGATGGGTGTCGAACCAGCTGTGGCTTGACGCCCACTTTGATATGTGGCGTTTTGCCTCAACGCCAAGCTTGAATATGACTCTTTGGGAACTTCGGGAGTGAAACAATTTTATAGCACCATCTAGAGCAGCCCAACGGATTCCGAAAGGGCCAACGACCTCTTCCATTACGAATACGTAGTCTCACAAAGCAAACGATACCTGTTGCTGCCACTGCAAGGGCCGTCTCCTGCCGGGTCCAGCGCAAAATGCCTACCATTTCTGTGGACAAGGCTGCCCTCTTCAAGGCACTGGGGAGAGATTACACGACGGAAGAATTCGACGAGCTATGTTTCGACTTCGGCATTGAGCTAGACGAGGACACCTCGTTGACAGAACGACCGATCGTGGACGGTGTGCAAGAGCCCCCACAGCTGAAGATCGAAATCCCTGCCAACCGATATGACATGTTGTGCTACGAAGGCATACAACTTATGCTAAACATCTTCAACCGCAAAGTCGACGCACCCAAGTACGTTCTGAAGGCACCGGCAAAGGGAGAGCTGCAGACCATTACAGTGACGAAAGACACGGCCAGAATAAGACCGTATGTCTCGGGAGCAATTTTAAGGAATATCAAGTTCGACCAAGCGAGATACGCCTCATTCATTGACCTCCAAGACAAGCTCCATCAGAACCTTGCCCGACACCGGACACTGGTATCTATTGGTACTCATGACTTGGACACCATCAAAGGACCATTCACATACGAAGCACTGCCTCCCAAGGATATCAAATTCGCTCCTCTAAACCAGACCAAGGTAATGAATGGCGAGCAACTGATGGATTTCTACGACAAAGACAAACATCTCGGCAAGTATCTTCACATCATCCGAGACTCTCCTGTTTACCCTGTCATCTACGACTCCAACCGCGACGTGTGCTCTTTACCGCCGATTATCAATGGCAACCTCAGCAAAATCACTCTAGACACAAAAAATGTTTTTATCGAGGTGACGGCCACAGACAAGACCAAACTAGAAGTCGTCGTCAACATAGTCGTCGCTATGTTTTCGCAGTACACAGCGGAGCAGTTCACCGTGGAGCCCATACAGATCGTATCCGAGCACAACGGCGAGTCTCGGCAGGTTCCCGACCTCACACCACGTACGACACAAGCAGAAGTAGACTACATCAACGGCTGCAGTGGGCTCTCTCTCACCACACAAGAGGTCTGCACGCTGCTCACCCGCATGAGTTACACCGCGCGCCCGTCCAAATCCAGCCCGAACCTGATTGACGTCGACGTACCGATTACCCGCGCAGATGTACTTCACCAAGCCGATATCATGGAAGATGTCTGTATCGCCTATGGCTTCAACAAACTCCCTCGCGCTTTCCCCAAGGTCGGCGCGACGGTTGCAGCTCCACTCGCCGTCAACAAGTTGTCCGACATTCTTCGCCTCGAGGCCGCAATGGCGGGTTGGGCCGAGGTGCTGCCCCTGATCTTGTGCTCACACGATGAGAACTTTGGCTGGCTCAACCGTAAAGACGATGGCAAGACGGCCGTGCGCCTGGCCAACCCCAAAACGGCAGAGTACCAAGTCGTCCGCACCACGCTGCTCCCCGGCCTGCTCAAGACGATCCGCGAAAACAAGCACCATTCCTTACCGATGAAGATCTTCGAAGTGTCGGACGTGGCGTTCAAGGACGAATCGCTGGAGCGCAAGTCCCGCAACGAGCGCCATTTCGCGGCGGCGTGGTACGGCAAGACGTCTGGTTTTGAGGTCGTTCACGGCCTCCTGGACCGTGTCATGGCCATGCTGCAAACCGCCTTCATCACCCACGAGGAAGGTCTGGAGATCAAGAATGGGAACGCCAAGGGTATGCACTACTGGATCGAGGAGCTAGATGACCCGACGTACTTTGCCGGACACGGAGCCAGTATTCATGCAAAGATTGCCGGCAAGGATCTTGTCATTGGCACCTTTGGCATCCTGCATCCCACTGTGCTGGAGAAGTTTGAGCTCAAGTACCCGGTTAGCGCGTTGGAGTTCAATGTGGAAGTCTTTCTATGAGCGATCTGCCTGCCGCGAAATTTGCAAGAGAAGAAGGGTAGGATGCGGCATGACCCAACGAGCATGTGGGAAACTGGCGTTGTAAGAAAAGAAAAAAGAGGAGACGCAGTCTAAAACGATAGAAACGTAGAAGTTTGCCGTTCTCTAGGGTTGTGCACTAAAAGAATCCAAGAATCCAAGAATTGAGAATCAGGAATCGAAGAACATGTTCATTGTTACGAATGATGCATTTTATTCATCTCTTCATTGACGATCAAAAAAAATTTGCATCTGCATCATCCCGTGTCTTTGAAATAAGTCAAGGAACATACCCAGCCACGTTCGTGGGGCGTGGCCCGCAGTACTCTGTTCTTTTCCCCTTTCATTCACATTTTCACCCTGCGTAGGTTCCTAGGAAGGAAGAAGGTATGCTAAACGAAACACAAAAACAAAACGCCTGGAAATGGTCCCACGCTTTTATTCCTGAGCATACGTCTCCTCTCCACCCTCGCCGTTCTCTTGGGCCGCCCGAGCGTCTTGGGCAGCTTGCTGAGCGGCCAGGGCCTTGGCGCCGTAGTCTTGCGACATGGGCTGCACGACCGGCTGCTCCTCCTTGGGGTCGATGATGGTGACGGAGTCGGGGAGGGACTTCTGGGGACCGGCCTTGCCTTCTGGGTCGCTGCCGCGCATGATCTTGACCTTGATACCCAAGACACCCTGTCTCAGCAGGACGTGACGGGTGGCTGTGTCGATGAAGTCGTTGACCGGTTGACCGGAGTGGATCATGAAACCGTCCTACGGGGACAATGTGTCAGCATTTACATTCTCGAAACATTGCGCTGTCTTGCTCCAGATAGGTGTGTATTCTTGTGTGTGTGAGGCGCCTTACAGTGAATTTCATGCTCTTCGCACGAGCAGCACGGAGCTTGCCAGAGACGACGACCTCGCAACCCTTGGCACCGCTCTCCATGATGAATCTCAGCACACCGTAGCATGCTCTTCGCACGGCCAGACCGTTCAACAGCTTGTATCGGAGGGATTCGCACTGGGCGACGGCGGAGAGACCACGGTTCTGAACCTTGGCGGCGTACAGGGAGACGCTGTTCTCGGGGAACTTGAATCGCTTCTGGATGAGAGAGGTGAGTTCGCGGATTCGTCGACCCTGCTCGCCCAGGACTTCTTGAGTGTGTGTGGCTCGGATGACTAGCAGTGTTTTGCCCAATGTTAGAAAATTCTGATCTTATCACCACCACCATCTGCGTCGCCATGATCATGTCTAAGAGTTGTTGCTACATACTGATGTCAGTCACGGTGGGAGTGACTCGGACCTCGACGCCGGAGTATCCTTCCTCGGCCAGCTCGCGCTGGAAGAACTCGTTGAGTTCGGCATAGAAGACACCGTCGGCGACGAACTTGCGTCTCTTGGAGATGGCTCCTTGTTGAGTCGTCATAATTTCGGCTGGTTGTGTGAGGGAGGAGGGAAATAGGGTGTTGACGGTGTGTGGTGCAAAGTCGCAGTTTGGGTGCTGTTTCAATTTCCTCGAATTGTGAGGGGGGGAATGTGAATTTCGTTCGCCAAGAGATATTTTTCGTGGGAGACGGACGAGACTGATTTGAATCACGTGATGAATACCGGCAGCCTGGTGGATGGTGATTGGATAGACACTTTTGAACTGCTTGGTTCACCGTACGAGTTGTAACTGCTTGAGCTGTCTGCAATTCTACTGTAGAATCATAGCTCGATAGGCTTTGTAGCATCTACATTGCCATGAAACCCATCTTATACCTCTCGTGAAGGTGCACAAATCTAAACCACTGACGCTTTCATGCAAGCAGGATGCTGTATGTGTAGGCGATGGGCAGGAGCATCAACTCATGGACACTCTTGCCATTTGCAGGCGCGAGTTTCCTGATGCGAAGAACCCAAATACTGGTAGGTGTACCTTTGTATTTGCAGTTATGGGAGGTATGGCTGTGGCCAATACTTCCAACATCCATACTTGATCTTCTGAACCCCGGAAGGAAAAACGTCCCAGAGATATGCGTTTTCTGCCCCTATGATTCTCTTGTTGTGTATGTGGACAATTAGGTCCAACAATGGTCTCTTCTGCTTTTTCCCCGTTGTCATTCTGTTTTCCTTCTGTTGTTCTATATGGTCGGCCGTCTCAGGTCTTGTCGTAAGGACTGTGGGAGATAATCTCTTGCCTATACAGTCAAGCTATGGGCTACCATTTCATTTGTATGGTAAGAATGGTCGATACTATTGACTCACCTGTGTCCATCCGTCATGGTGGTTGGAGGTGTTCCTGGGTATTCCTCTTGTAGCCTGCCTGTGTTTCTTTTCTGAAGCGTCTCCAGTCACGTTTCCTCTATGCGAGAGCTGTTGTTTCTTTCATTCTCTTGAGAGTATTGATACTCAGGTACCTGTATCTTGCGTTGTGGTGTGTGGTGGTGGTGATGGTGGTCGTGTACAAAGGTTGGTTCAACTGACACGGAACCATGGCTACCGCCGATACTGGCCTGCAATCTTGACAACGTATACTTTGAAATACTGCTTCATTTATCTTGCCTGAGAGGTAAGTCGACGGCATATTTGGCTTGGTAGTTGTTTCGTCACTCAATGTCCCTTTGATGGAGCTCTAGGGAGGTTCTGAAGAGAAGAGCAAAGAACAGCACGACCCTACGCAGCCCAACTACACAAAGATTCCTGTGTGACTTTGTGCCGAGCCAGTTGAAATGTGTGAATATGCATCATCACCATGTTCGAAATCTCAGGCGGTCAATCAACAACCCGCCATCACCTGGTCTCCGCTACGAGCTGCTCAACTTGCGTGGGCGTAGAGAATTCCGGAATTCTTTTTGATGATTGAGATCTCATTTTATCGATGTGCTCTCTCTGACCATCTTGATAACAAATATCACAACACACCACAAGGTCAGTTTCTGCTTGACAGCAGTACCGAACTCGCCTCGTCTCATTTTATTTACTGCCATACTTGCAGACATCCTGCTTCCCCCCTTGGCAGTGCACATGTTAATACCAGACCTGACCATCTCTCACTCTCACATTGCAACCCATTGATCAGAATTTGTCTTTTGATCTGGCCAGTTTTGCGCTGGTTCCTTGCGTCCTCACCGTTGCCAAAAATTCTCTGCCTACCCCTCGCCTCTCTCATTCTTTCTCATCACTTCATCTCTCTCTCTCTCTTCTCCTTCTTCAACTCAATCTTCCCATCCCTGTCTTTCTTTCGAATCCAGGCTTCATTTGCTGACCGATCTCTTCAGCAATGGTTACCTGGGACACCAACGAAACATCGGCGGCTATGGCTCATCCTGGTACGTGTTGATTCATTGCCCTTCTCTCCGCGTCTGAAATTGCTTGTCTCTCTTCTTGCCCTCATCACTGGACTGCATCAACGCGTCCACAGTGCTTTATTTTCTCCAGAGCCTTGAACTGCAGGACCTTCGCCCCAAATTAACATGGGTTCTCGTGCCTGAAGTCTCATTTATCATCACCTCTGCCTTATCGCATCTATTTTCTTGGATCCATGTTGTGCTATCTGACCTGTTTTAACAGAGAACCCTCCAAACGGTGCCTTCGACACTGCCACTATGCAAGCTGCCATCGGAGAGGCCGATCCAGCCAATGGCGCTGCGCAAGGCGGACGCGTTGACGCGGAAACTATGCAACGTATGCGCGACCTCGGTTGGGTTGAGCCACAGTCTTTCGACTATGCTGCCAGTGCCCCTACGACCGTCCTTCATGCGAACGAGCCTCAGAATGAGGAAAATGGTGGTGACATACGTTCCAAACACCAGGCTAGTACCTGGGCTCATGATGCAGCAAAATACGAGTGGGATGCTGAATATGGTGATGTTGGACCGCGTAATGAGAAGCTCGAGGCAGAATTGTTCCGAGCCGACTATCTCAATCGTGCTGGTGAGAAATTTGACAAGTAAGACATCTTCATGATCGGGTGCAACTGCAAAAAATTGACTTCAGTCATAGTCTCATCACCATCAAAGTCATTGTCGAATCCAAGACTCGAGTTGAGCCTATACAAGACGTAAGTGCCTCCGAGAGCTTGATGTCCTCCCAGTCTGACCAGTCTTTCAGTTCAAGAGCGCAGGATTGCACCCTGTCATGTTGCAAAATGTTGAACTTTGTGGCTACGAGTTCGCTACCCCCATCCAAGCATACGCCATTCCTGCTGTCACCACTGGTCATGACATGATTGGTGTTGCCCAAACTGGTACGTCCACCATTTTCGAAACGCTTTACGCCATATTGACTCTGTTCTAGGTTCTGGCAAGACCGCTGCATTCTTGATCCCTTGCATTTCGCAACTCATGGGCAAGGTCAAGAAGTTGGCTGCTCCTCGTCCCAATCTGGCGGTCGGCTTCGACCCAGCTCGTGATCGCGTTCGCGCTGAGCCCTTGATTCTTGTCGTGGCGCCAACTCGTGAGCTATGCTGTCAGATCTTTGACGAAGCTCGCCGTCTCTGCTATCGTTCCATGATGCGACCATGCGTTGCTTATGGTGGTGCTCCTATTCGTGATCAAGTGTCTCAATTGGCCCGTGGTTGCGACATTCTGATTGCGACTCCTGGCCGATTGCTTGATTTCATGAGCCGTCCCGACATTCTTTCGCTATCTCGTGTTCGGTACACCATCATTGACGAAGCTGACGAGATGCTTCACTCCGACTGGGAGGAGGACATGGCAAAAATCATGGGTGGTGGTGGTAGGTGCAGCCTGTACTGACGATGTTGCAATTCATTAACCATTGTTCCAGATGCCAATGAGGATGGCGACCATCGCTATCTCTTGTTCTCGGCGACCTTTCCCAAGCGTATGCAGAGATTGGCGGCAAAGTTTTTGGAAACCGACCATGTTCATGTCAGCATCGGCCGTACTGGTTCTACCCATGTCAATGTGAAGCAACAGGTACGTTGGGCTCGGCAGGCGTTCTGACAAACTTTGCTTACTCTTTTCAGGTCTTGTGGGCAGACCAGGACAAGAAGATGAAAGCTCTCTACGACTTGCTCATCTCCATGCCTCCTTCGCGCACCCTTATTTTTGTTCGATTCAAGAAGACTGCCGACTTCGTCGATGATTACCTCTTCAACCTCGGATTGCCATCAACCTCGATTCATTCAGATCGTACTCAGATTGAACGAGAAGACGCCATGTGAGTATACCAGCCTTCCTTGTGAGCAGATGCTGATCATATTAGTCGTTCGTTCAAGGCCGGACAGTCTCCAATTCTCGTCGCTACCGGTGTTTCAGGTCGAGGTCTAGACATTCGGTATGTGTGGGCAATGCTTTTGGGAATGTGTGCAACTAACGTCTTGGGCTAAAGCAACGTCATGCATGTCATCAACTTCGACTTGCCAGCTGCCGAGCATGATGGTCAGAACGAATACATCCATCGTATTGGTAAGAAGGCTGCTATTCAAGATAAACATTAGCTGACAAGACATGTAGGTCGCACTGCTCGTATCGGAAATGAAGGCCTTGCTACTTCATTCTACAACGAAAAGGACGAGCCAATGGGCGAGTTCCTTGCGAAGATCCTCATGGAAACAAACCAAGAAGTCCCCGACTTTCTCCATCACTTCAAGCCAGAAGATGGTGTACTCAACTTCGACGAAGAAGAAGAAGAGGACGACCTAGACTTGGTGGCAACCAACGACGGTTCAGGCGGAGCTGCTTGGGGTTCTGGTGGTGATGTTGCAAGCGCTCCTGCAGGAGATGCAACTGCTGCCACTGCTGGTGATAGCTGGGGCTCGGGCGTTGACAATGGTGCTGCTGCCAAATTCGATGCTTGGTGAGCTGTCATCAATTGGTTGATGAAGGATCACCAGCTGTACAAAGCCATCGACCAAGCAGTGCCATTAGTCGCCACATAGTGCTTCATGCAGACTTGTGTTGCCTTGATACACCTTCTGCTCACTGGGCACATGATTTTGGGGAGAGATTAGATTTCGTTTATGCACACAACTGCCAACAGAGGACGGCGGACGGGGATGACTTGGCTTGCAGCTTTTTGCTCATCCTCCAAGCCTGAGAGCCTCGATCAGGCATCTTGATTTTTGTCTTATCACAAGGTATCTTGCCTCACCACAGTTCAACTCTTGAATTGGCATAGGCAAGAACCCCACCAGCTAGAAAATGCAAAAGATTTGCACAAAATATTGTCCTTCATCTTCATAAAGCTATATCTTGTACGCGTTCACACTTTGCTGACCATGGCTGGAATTTGCAGGCATCCGCCGCTGACAGGGTCGGTATGCACGGTCTAAACGCAAGCTGGTATACTGTTGCGACGATTGGACAATGATCACCTAGAAGCCGAGGCCAATGATGCCCTGGTCGAAAAAAATCTGCATTCTCCGACGCCCAACTCGTATCCGTACAAGAACCCATCTCAGCACTCCGTTTCGAGGTCTCGTGATAAGCACCACATCTACTAGCCCAGGTATATTATAGGTCCAACACGCGACGAGGCGAAGCTGAGAGTCGCTTGGAGGGTACCATTTACCGGGGTATGACGACTAGAGACCGGCAAACTGAGGCCTGTTTGGGTTATTCGATGCAGAATGGTTGCTCTGGGCCTTCGACCATCCCAAGCCGGCATCGAGGCTAGTAGGTACGTTGTCATGGCAAGATAACGAAGGCAAAAGGTTAGTCAATAATGGGTGATGGTCTTATCTCGAGGCTGACGAGGATGTAGATGTGCTCTACGGAGGTACTGGAGGGAATACTGTAGGTAACGAGACTGGGGCACCTCGTGGCAGACCCGCCTGCAAGGAAAATTGATCCTGGCGTCATTGCTAATAGTCTCCTTGGTTGCAACCTGCAGCCTGCAATTTTTTTCACCTCGACTTAAGAAAAAATCATCCATTAAAGAAGCAAAGGAGAAGATCTACTGGCCTCAACTGGCCTCGGTAGGATTGGGCGGGTGCATCGGGTGTTCTCAGAGGATCTTACTCCGTACCTCGTACTCGTACACTCTGCCCCGAGACAGAAGAGTGAGGCGGGAGAGAGATTGACTGCCCACTATTTACCAGGACAAGCTTTGGCAAAGGCGGCGATACCTGAAGCTTGGAGAGGCTTGGAAGGGCTTAGGGCAGGTGGATTGAAGGACTCAGGCGCCTCTTACAGCTCGTACTTCCAGCCTGGTGCGCCGCACTAGAGGGACAGTAGCCTCTACGGGTACCAAACATGGAGAAAAAGAAATGCTTGTACTTGTAGGTGCCCCAGGCTTCTACTGGATTATTCTCTCCCTCAATAATCTCACCCGCTAACGCCAGCCACAGGCCCCTCGTATCCATCGTTGCACCAACTTCCCTCGACCGTCGCCCATATCGTTGATCCATCACTGGTTACATCCCTCGCTTTCATCGCGTGCTGGCCAATGCTTGTCCCTACTAGGCCTTCGTGCCCCTCTCCTCCATCGGCCCACGCCACGCTCGTCGACATCATGGCTGCAGTCCGACTCCGCAGCTGCAGTCCTACCTTGCTGGGAGTTGCCGCCAGAAAGCTCAGATCCATGCCAACTTACAATCGAGGAAAAAGGTCCTCCGTAAGGCGAATGCGATGGCTTTAGGTTAGGCAAATCTCTGTCGCAAATCCCTACATCTATTCTGAATTTCTCGCGTTCTTCTCTTCCTTCCCAATCTCAGCTTTGTACTCCGTATATATCCCAGGCAACCGGACGAATTTTTGAACAGGCCCTTCCCCGCCTTCCATTCCTCCTACTACCGATTGGCTTCACATGCCGCTTCACGAACAAGACGGAGCGCAGTCTTTCTATTTTCCCTGTGTCAAACGGGTGGTTCGATATCGCAAGTGGCGTTGAACATCTGTTCTCCCTTCTGCCAGTTATACTACGCAAGAACACCAACAAACTATGGCCATGAACGTGGACACTACTACCGCTCCGCTCAATGAGAGCGATCTCCGCAGACACAGCGTGGGAATGGTAGAGATTCAAGATTCTCATGGAAGAAGAAGGACAGTCCAATTGGATGAGCTCAGTGCTGCCGATCGCGCGCTGGCGGAACAATTTGGATACAAACCAGTGCGTCGACACAAAGTGTAGAGCGTTGATTATTCTCGCATCTAACAACTTTACAGGTCTTCAAACGTGAATTTGGTTATCTCTCGACCTTCTCCTTCGCTGTAAGTATTTCAGGCCTGTTTGCGACCACTGCGACCACCTTCGTCTATCCGCTCGAAGCTGGGGGTTCGGCCTCCGCAGTCTGGTGCTGGTTGATCTCAGGTGCCGGTTGCATGTGCATTGCGTGCTCCGTTGCCGAACTGGTGTCTGCCTATCCAACATGCGGTGGCTTGTACTACACCGTCTCACGACTGGCGCCAACCGAATGGGTACCATCCATCTCCTGGATCACTGGCTGGATTAATTTACTCGGACAAGTCGCTGGAATAGCCTCGTCTGAGTATGGCTCCGCCCAACTGCTCCTCGCTGCTGTCTCGATCGGTCGTGATTTCAACTGGCTCCCCACCACTGGCCAGACTGTTGGTGTAATGGCCGCACTGACTGTTCTCTGTGGCCTTGTCAACTCCCTGTCGACCTACTGGATGGAGAAGATGACCAAGACCTATGTCATTTTCCACTTTGCCATTCTCATCTCTTGCGCCGTTGCTCTTCTGGCCAAAACCGAGGACAAGCACGATGCCCACTACGTATTTACCCACGTCGAAGGGAACGCGGGTTGGTTTCCAGTAGGGTGGTCATTCTTGTTCGGCTTCTTGTCAGTATCGTGGACCATGACTGATTACGATGCTACCGCGCACATTACTGAAGAGTAGGTTCTGTAGCCCAAATGCGACCAAAAATAGCTGACCCGGTCTAGAATTGCACAACCTGAGATCAAGGCGCCTTGGGCCATCTCGATGGCCATGGCTTGCACGTACGTCCTCGGCTGGCTGTTCAACATTGTGCTGTGCTTCTGTATGGGCGATCCCACCGAGATCCTCGCCTCCCCGATTACCCAGCCCGTTGCCCAGATCTTCTACAACTCCCTCGGCAAAGGAGCCGGCATCTTCTTCACAGTCTGCGCGTTCATCATCTTGCAGTTTGTCTGCTTTACCGCGACACAAGCCCTGGCACGGACCGTGTTCGCCTTTTCCCGCGATAAGCTGATTCCCTTGTCTTGGGTTTGGACCAAGATCAATCCCATCACGCAGACACCATTGTACGCGGTGTGGATCAGTATCTTCTGTTGCATCGCCATCAACTTGATCGCGTTGGGATCTTACATTGCCATTTCAGGTGTGTTCAACGTGTGTGCGATTGCGCTGGATTGGTCATATGTCATTCCAATCGTCTGCAAACTTGCATTTGGCAAATTCCAGCCTGGGCCCTGGCATATGGGCAAATTCTCGAAGTTTGTCAATGCTTGGGCTTGTATTTGGACTTTCTTCGTCACCATCATCTTCATCCTTCCCACCATTCGACCCGTCACGCCTGACAACATGAACTACGCCATTGTCTTCTTGGGCTTTATCTTGCTCTGCGCCGCGGTATTCTGGTACCTTGGTGGCAAGCGATACTACACCGGACCTTTGATCGAGGCTGAAATCCAACAAGAAGAAATTGGGTCACCTTCTCTATCTGAAAACGAAAAGAAAGAAACAGACAGTCGGGGCCCTGATGTTGTTGCATAACTGATATGTCTCTGCCATTTAAGCTGGACGCGAAAGTTATTTGCAGGGAGCAAATCACATTTCGCCGAGGAAGCATATTTTTGGGTGGGAAAATATTACACGAATTTTTGCCCATGTTGTTAATCTTTACGAAATTCACAGGATCGTTGGATGTTAAGGTATACGGCCTACGTGGACTCGTCTTGGGCTATGGTCTCACTCCACTGTACGCCGTACGTATGTAACTTTTGGTTTAATGGACGCAGCTTCTATATTCACTATAATGACCTCGATGTCAACTCACATCTGCTCGGCACGTTTCACAATCAAACGATCACAGGCATGACCGATTTTGGCGTGGCAAAAGGCAAAGTGATCTTGAAGTTGCTGCCTCGACTTTGTTTCAATCTGCTGTTTCGTTTGGCTTGTTGCTACCGGCGGTGAAGGCGCCTTTTTCACAGCATCGGCGACTGCACTGGTGGTTCATCAATGATTGCAATCGAAAGTTCATTCTGAATCATTTGTTACCACGCTCCCTGATGTATTAATCTTGGCCAGGTGCAACTTACTGTATCACGTACCGAACAGAGCAAGACATGCGTCACAGCAGCACCTGATCTGCTGACTGTGACCGCTGGTTCGAGTGTGAAGTCTCGGGGTTTTTTTCTTCGCCTGGCATCATCGGCACTGCTTCTGGCAAACGTCCAGCACTCGTTCTCGCACCGAGGTAAGCCATCAGCCGGCCCCATTGTTAGTTGCCCATGATGATTCAAGTCCAAGACAATGTTGTGTCCGACTCGACCGTGCCACTCACTGCGTTTATCACGGCACTTGGTAATTCCTGAGGACTAAGATCAGCGCTTGCAATACCATGAAAAACTACAAAAAAACCCAGTCCCCCCTTGCTCGAGTCTTCTTCCATCGATTCTTCCTGTTCCTTTTTGCCTACTTGATTGAGAGTGCATACTGTCCTTTGCTTATCTAGGGTCGAAGAAGCTTGTGTTTTATATATGTATATTACCTCCTTTCGAATCTGCACGTTCCTACTCTCTGACCATACGTCCTGGCTCACCTCAAGAGATCCTCTTAATAAGGATGGATGCTCTCAGATCTGTAAGAGTCAACGAACACAGAAATCCGCCTTCAAACCTCAGCAGGAGACATCTTTTGAGCATTACGATCTTCTTCTCCGGCACTACTCGGCTCCGAAAGAATACCCATGTCCATTGCCAGTTATGTCTGGTATAGTCTGACATGTTATCTACTTGAAGTCAACTTCATGGCATCCGATACTTTAGCACAAGCTTTGGCCAGAGCGCCTTCTACGTTGGTCTCCAACGCACCACCTTCTGGCGGAAGCAGATGAGGACAAAGATGACCGTCAACAGCCTGTTGACAACGGTGGAAGCTCTTCTGCGACAATCGGCAAGGCGGCGATTCGAGACATTCTCACGGAACAGCTGGAATGGATTGCGAGATACCATACACTCACACATCAGGGCAAATGGCGGAGCATAGTCTCCAAGATGCTGACAGAGTACGATGTCGACCAGTGACGTGAGGTCCAGGCAGACAGCGAAGAAGGGTGGAAATACTATAAAGACAATCTCCGTGTCGCCATCAATCAGATCTGTGAACAGCACAGAGAAGGCGGGGATATTGTGCGGCGCGTTGGAGCATTTACAGCGTGTCAGCCTTCAGCTCGGATACGTGGCCAATGGTCTAAAATCAGGAACATTACCGCCCCTCGTCTAGAGACCGATCGACTTTACACCATATCAAAGCCCGGCGATGCCACCACCAAAGGCCGGGGAGGAGGACCGGGGGTTCTGATAAGCTCAACGAATTACCCAGCAACATGAAAACAATCTCCGAGCAACTCAATACCCTTAACAGGGAGATGATAAAGGTTAAGCAGTCCCAAGATTTAATGAATTTAAAGCTTTCAAAAAAGTTGGATACTTTTGGGTCAGCGCGATGAGACACCTCCAGAGGGACCGGTCAGTCAATGCCATAACGTGCGAATGACTGATGAACGAGAACCAATGGTATTATGATCGACAAGAGATTTGGAGGCCAGAATGGGAACACTTCGGGAGCTCTACTCCTTCTTCTGGCGGTACTGCTCTTCAGCGTCGGTACCCAAGGATGAATCCTGAACCTTCCGAATGGACAGGACATCCTGAACCAGGGATAGCAAGGAATGCCTTGTGTACGCAACTAAATCCCAAGTGGCGGCAATAGGAGGATTCTTATACTGTCATTTCAAGAAGCCCACAACATTGTCGCCGGCACGACACTCGACTATCAGAGACGTCTTCATCGAGATCGAAAAAGTCCTAGAGTCGACGACCGGCTAAAATGTGGCCATACAGCGACAGCGTACTGACTTTTCCTGGAGTACAAGGCCAGATGATCGCTTCTATCAGGCTTATATCAAGAAAGCGATTGTTTCAGTGAGGAAAGTTACACATTTCTCAATCGTAACGGTCGGTTTTGTCTATACTCGCTAACGCCTAGGTATTTAGGAAGCTGGACTGAGGGCATACTGGCTCCACGACCCGAGAAAGTCAACCACTTGGCTCCTCTCCCAAGACTTTGACGTTGTGGTGGTGCGAACAGCAAATGTTGCCGTCTTCCCACGTTAGACCAACCTCTTCATGATCCTCGACGAAGACGGTGTCAAACCCCAAGCTCACAATGAGCCCATTCCTTCTGATTTCATCCATCCAATCGACAAAGCCTTTTACGTTCAGTGCTCGAGAGTGTGCCAGCACAGGCATATGAATGATAGTAACGTCATTCAATCAGCCAATGGCCCCATCGTTCACACTAACACGATCGACGACCACGATGAACAATGGCACAGCGAACTATACACGCGAATCGAGTCCAACGTTATCGACTTGTACCGACGATAATGTCCAGAAGGACAGAAGAAAGCTGGCCCAAAAGATAACGTTGTCGTTTTTCGTCAGACTACGTACAAGATATTGTCAACGCCACGTGTACATCCAGACGTTCAAGAATGTCGGCTGGGAGGGAATAACGACAGTTCCGTAATCGGTGAGCATAATCAAAAGTTTCGCTCCCGATTGGAATCGCGGAGAGAATGTCCTTGGACAGGTAGGTGCATGTTGTTCGCTTCTTAACGCGTACAACCAAGATCTAGTCAATATTACAGAGACTCGAGACTTGCAACGCCAGGAGCGAGAAAGCTCTAGGCTTCTTCAAGTATATATATATAACACCATATGGCATCGCAACATCCGATGGGGAAAATCGATGTCGCCATTTTGGAACACCTTGGATTGTGATGTCACATGTGGTATCGCGCTGAGCAGTTACTAGACGGTCGTTACCAAAAGTGTCAGCGAGAATATTCCATCAACACAACAATGGTACCTGGTCTACCTCTTGAAACTACTGAGTATTGATTACCTGACGACGTATGGCTGGACACATCGATCTCCCTTGAGTGTTATGATTTGGTTTCGAGGATGATCTTCGGGCGGCAGTGTCCGAACTGGTGGGACCCAGGTTGAAGGATCGCTTTCGATGGTCTGATGATAGTCTCACACTCAAGACCACGCTGATGCCAATGGTTCATCCCCTATGGAGCCGCAGCAGCTGGATGAGGTTAAGACCCCGAAATCGACTCTCGTTGAAAGTCAAGAAGCAGAAAGACGGCGCCGCTGAAAAGCACAGAGATAACAACAGCGCTTTTAACAACTACAGAGATCCTTCGTTCTACAAGCAGGGAGCTAAAACATCGAGATATCGAAAGATAACGGCCCAATGTTTTATGCGTGTATAAAAAAAACGCTAGGATCTCTCTAGGCCACAATGTTGGGTGTTTCAATTCAACACCCAGATGGCAAGATTTTCTGTCTTTGGTGCGAATCCCAGTGGCTGTCCCTCTATTTGCAAGATTTGTAACGACTTCAATATCAGACTACATCTTTTGGGGTTCCTGTTTGGGGTCTATCTGAGGAGGAGGAGATGATGAATCGTCCCCATTGCTCCGACCCAGGCTGATAAGGACGCGTTATGGCAATCATTCTATACGAGACCACGACTATGTTCAATGGGCATTCACTGGTAGTGAGAGGCTCAAGTTGATCATACTCACTGATATTGTGTCGATTTGTGATTCCGAGACGAGTTGTTCATGGCCAAGAGTGCACTATTTCGGTACAAATATGCTGAAGTTCGCCTGGTCCTGTTTTCGTCGGAAGCATACTTCAGTCGTTACAATTGTGGGAAGAGCTTAAAACAACTCATGAAACCTTTCCTTTCAAGACGAATTGCTTCTGCAGCATTGTGTTTCGGCTGTGGTGGGAAGTGGTATCATAGTCCAGACCACATGGGGTTGTTGTTGCGGTAAGTTTATGGTTGCTGAACTGGGAAGCTCACTGTTGGAAGGACTTTGACATCATTGCAAAAGATCATTCCTCCTATCTAGAGCTCTACGAACTCTTACACTTCTGAAATGGTGTCGCAAGCACCCCCTCCCCCGGCTACCCACGGAAACCCACTCGCCGACATACTTGGTAAAGGAGTGGATGTGGTAATGTCCTCAAGACACTCACATTCGTGAGAATTTCGAAGAGGTGTTGGACAATGACAACGATATTGCAAACATAATCTGAGTAGTCTTTCGGCTCAGAGGAGAATGGCAAAATGCCCCAACTCCCGCGGTGGAAGAGAATAAGACTGCCGTGTTAGAGGATGCCATCGCCGCGCAAGCCAAGTCTTATGAATTCTGTCGGGACCACAGCATCTTCTGCACCAGCTCATGGCTCGGTGTGACTGTTACGAGATCATTTCGAGGGCTATGGTGCTTACTTTTCTTCGGAGCTGATGAACCAAGGTGAAAAAGAACTAACACTATTTCTTGTTTATCTATATTTAGTGGTACGTGGACGCGTTATTTTGAGAAGCGAAGACGCAAGTGGACTGTCATCAAATGAGGCTACCAGGGTATTACCGATACAGAATACTGGATACCAACATATGGTACAATTCTTGTATAACATGCTTCGAAGCTACGGGATACTACCATCCTTTTGCCAACAAGATAATAACCCCGATAGATGTCGACTGAAATACGATACCCAAGCACCGTCTACTCACCGGCTATCAGTTGCCTCCTGATGTCCAGTCAGGATATTTGGAACCTGCAGAATTCAACCATCCAAGCATCCACGAGCACACATAAAGTCTCAAGGACATTCATTGCGATATTCATTTTCCAGAAATTGAGGTGTTTTCTT